TCCTCTCGGATCCCGTGAAGCCGACACCAGCTCCCGACAAATATTAACATCAATGCGGGTCGAATTAGCGCGCAGCTCAAGGTTAGGCAAACGATCAAGGATGGATTTTGCAAAATGTCTTGGCAAATTGAAACAGCTCACCCCGATGAAACAACGAACGACTCTCTTCCTCCACCCTCTACCCTTCATCCGACTTCACCCCTCGCAGTTCGTAAGGAAGATAGACGCGGAGAGAGAATCCCGGGGGTGGGGGGAGTCGGGGACCCCGAATGTTTGAATGGTTGCACAATTTGCGACATGGGCTCACTTCTCGTTTGAGAGTGTGTCGCTGCGAGTGGGTGAATGGCGCTCTCTCACTCTCTCTCTCCCCGTGAGCGAACCTCCTATGTAGACCCAGAGTTTCTTTTTCACTCCCTGTTTCGCGCTCTCACCCTCTCTGAAGTTTGTTGGTCGCCGAGTTGGTCGTGGATGTGGCGAATCCCGTGGTGGCACCGGGCCCTTGCTCAGGACGATGGTGGTTGTGACGAAATAATTTGTTAGGAAGCTCTCGCTCAAACGCGCTACGACCGTTACATTGAAAGAGTGGCAGCAGCGGCTGAACACTAAAACATTTCTATCGACGAACAGCGGAGCGAATCTCGTTTGTTCAATCACTGTCAAGGGCATTCCGTCAAGGCTCCCCCGCTCGACGTCGCTTCTCAATGGTCATTCGGCTCTTCACATCAACATCTTCAGAGACGAGAGTTTTCAGCTCGACCGCTCGTCTGTGTCTTCTCCATTATCCGCTAACCCGCTAAGCGCTCTCAAGCCGTGAAGCGACTCAACGCCGAGCACCAACATTCGAGAGGGCTCAGAACTCCCGATTCGAAGACAGGTCCCGTCGTTTCTCATGGGGTTACACGCCTTCATTCAATATACTTTACGCGTCGACCTTATGTCAGTCATTCAATTTCGTAACCTTGCGGCCGTCGCATCTGATACGACCGTTGATGACAGGATCAATGTTCGAGAATGATGCGGTCAAGGTTCGCCACTGCCGAGGAAAACAGTTTCGAGCGGAATGAGGGCCATTTTACAAACATGTCGTTGTTCGATGTTCAGGAAACCGATCAGTCCTCAAACGCGGGAAAGGTGAGTCGGATCTTCCCCGGAAATCTTCGGCAACCCGCGCCCCTTTTCAGATTTTTCGGTGCTTGCATGAGACGTCGACCACATATCTGGAGCTCCACTGTCTCCAACTCTAGGGAGTCTAATCCTTCCCATTTATTCCCGATTCTACCGCCGGCGCCGGACTTTCAGAGGGCGGGTAGGATTTCCCCTTTTCACAAGAAGATCATTTCCCCAAAGCTGTGAGGGGCACATATTATATGCACAGATTCCGAACGGGAATCCGGACCTTAGCTTGAAGACTTCTGAGGTATCCGAAACCCAAGGCTGCATGACTTTTTGGATGCATCTCCCAAAGGGGGATGAAGTGCCCCCCTTGAAGGGAGCCTTCCCGTTGTCATGGGTCCGGTGCATGGCAATGTATCGTTCGAATTCCCGAATGTGTATGGAATTTACCTGATTGAGAAGATGAGGGCTACATCTCCGCGATCCGACGTTCGGGAGAGGGGCCGCGCACCTAGATGCTGATGTCTAAGTTTCGGTTGTCTTTTGAAAATGCTGCACAAATCCTTCCTCCGCGATCAACTCAGAGTTTTGCACCAGCACTCCAAGCGTAACCGACAACCGATGGGAAAGAAGAAAAGGAAGCACACCGACACACAATCACAGTGGCTCGGGGTATGGCAGCCAAAAGAGTTCACGTCAACGTAATCCTGCAAATATGTTCATCTCGTTCTCAACTCGCTCACAATGAGCGTACGAGTGAGAAGCCGAACGCAGACGATGTCCTGATAAGTTCCTTCTAAGTGCGTGCACTGAGCTAACAGCGAGCGAAAGTATCAATGAATCAATGGAATGATCGAATTAAACCGCATTGGAACGGAGAGCAGGGCGGTTCGCGCGCAACGACCTACGACTCTCACACACGACAGTGTCGGAGCGAATCTGTGGGAAGAGACGAGAACACGCGGCCTACACACGAGCTCGGTCCCTCTCCCAGCCCGACCCTTTCTCCGTGCTGGTGTTCCTGGGGGTAGAGGCACATCACTTTTCCCGCGTCGACTCGTATCGGGGAAGTTACACAATATGCGAATAATGAATCCTATGAAACTCGCCTCCGGTTCTATCTCAGGGGTATTGTTTAACCGGACGGCCCCCGATCGATCGTGTTACTCGGCATGTCGATCGATGCCTATGATCTCCCGGATCGTCTCGATACCTACGAGGTAGTCATCGTGATTCTTACGCTTGCTTAGAATGCTTCGGGTACCATTCGAAGCCCTTGGGATGACTCCGCTGGAGTTATTTATCCGGGACTGGGATGACGTCCGGAGCTACCGAAGATGTCTCCGGTCATCCCCACCCAGCAGAGACGAGGCTCCAGGATCGATGGGTATCTCGTGAGATCCCGAACGTCGTGCCGTCCTCGTTCCCGGGATGCAAGGAAGGACTTTCTATCGTCGTTCGAGGAGCATTCAGAAGAGACCCGAGCTCCGGACAACTTGTTCCTTCTATGATCGAACAACACGCGATCGAAATCAAGTTTTTCCGTCGCATCATCCGTTATCGGAACCACATCCTCGAGTAGAAGCCATCCATTTTCCTGCTCTTGTCCGGATCAATCGAAATCAGATGGAGGAGGAGAGCCCGGATTTCGCCTAACGCAATCTTCAAATTAGTGCTCGTAACACTCATCCGCGACTAACTCGTGCGGCGGAAAATCAGCTTCCATAGATTCTCACTAGCAGAATGTTTACCGAGATCGCGACTACAAATAAATATTTATTCGAAACATTCAATCCAGCTGATCTGGGAATCGCTTCAATCACGTACCTTATCCCCATACTCTCTGTCCGTCGCGTAAGTGTTCGTTAGAGGGGGGGTGAGGAAAGTGCTGAGGTCAGTTCAGTGGAGATCTGAAGTATCATACTCCGCGTTCCATCCGCTAATGATTCCAACCTAAAAGTCGGCTCTGCTCAAGAGATTCTCGTCGTCCTCCGAGGGGATATCCGCGGGGGACAGCGAATCTCTAGTTGAGCTGGATTCCTGATTTGGAAGAATAATAATGCTCCATTCTAGCAGGATCGCTTCATCCGATTGATAATGTTGGGTTTGATTCTCGCGGATCGATCGAGCAACGAGGAGCTATTTTCATTTGAGTCGCGGACTCTCTAAACAACATTTTTTCACACAAAGTCATCCTCAGTCGAGGAGGGACCTGAACAAGCAAACAAATGAGTAAGCTCTGGTATGGAAAGCCTCATGTTCATGTAGGCGTGCAGTGGAGCGTCCGACTCGCTCGCGGCTCCCATCAGGTGAAAATGTACCCATCCGTTTCGGTTGCGACGCTGACCGCGTTCAAACAACCTGTTTCTGTTCCAGGCGATTTCTTTCTTCTATGGTCCGTCAGACAGTAGCTTCGATTCATGACTGGATTCGCCCCGACTGAGAGAATGTATGATATGTGTCTCGGCTGACAGGGGGTCCTGAATGAGATTTTCTCGTCGATAAGATGGGCGAAACGCGCATCGTTGGAAGGGCAGGAGCTGTGACTCGATGCGTAGCGATTATTGCGAGGGGAACCGGCCATAGCTTCCAGACCTGTAGATCGGCCTGGAATCGATCTCAAAGCCGCCTGTAGCAATGAGGAGGAAGAGGCATCAGTTCCTCGGAGTGAGAGCCTGATCTCAATCGTACCGCATCCCTCGTTGGGAGAACTTCAAGCACGACCATCTGCTCAATTAGGTTCTAAGACCACAAGGAATACTTCATATACAGCCGATTCATGAGGGCGATCAATCGGCAATTCGCGGCACATGTGTATTTCACCATGTAAAATAAGATCATAGTCGAATGGAATTTAGTGTCCAGATGATTGGCGCGTCAATCGATGATTTATAAAGAACTACCGCTCCCGGTCGCCGCTTCGCGGCGACTCGGTATCGCTAGACTCACTGCACATGCGCTGGCTCCGAGTGCGCTTGCTTTGGTCGCGCGTGCTCTGGGTCCGCGTCCCGTTCCCCGCTTTCCCATTTCCCTGCTTTCCCGTTTCCCCACTTTCCCGTTTCCCCACTTTCCCGTTTCCCCAGTTTCCCGTTCCCCCACTTTCCCGTTTCCCCACTTTCCCGTTTCCCCACTTTCCCGTTTCCCCACTTTCCCGTTTCCCCACTTTCCCGTCTACCCACTTTCCCGTCTACCAACTTCCCCGTTTCCCCGCCTTCCCGTTTCCCCTGTTTCCCGTACCCTCGCTTTTATTCCATATGTTCTTCGGAAAATCTGTACCCTTCAAGGCTACAGCAATTTTCAGCGAGATTCATTGGTAGAGAGACAGAGGCCAATGATGACGGCAACCCCCGAGAGCCTTCTTAGCAGCTCCCGAGAATCTACCTTCTCATGGCGATCGGTCCAGCCGATGAGAAATCCTGAGAATTCCCGTCTTTCCCTTGATGAAATCTTCGATTCTCGGTGGGAGGACCACTCAAATAATTCTTTTTTGATGGGAGGACCCATCACATGAGAACTACGACCCTCATATGACCCTCCTGACGCTCCCGAGAACCTGCCCCTGAATTTTTGCGGCGATCGGTTCAGGCGTTCGTGAATTTTGCGAATTTCGGATTTTTCAATTTTTTTCCGAATTTTCGTGGGTGGAGCACTCAAATAATTTTTTTAAGGTGGAAGGACTCATCGCATCGGAGAACTGACCCCCCTATAACCACCGCTGTATCCCCCCGAACACGCTCCTAAATTTTCACGACGATCGGTTCAGCCGTGTTCGAGTCTATAGGGTACCCCGGACAGACAGACAGACAGACAGACAGACAGACAGACAGACAGACAGACATACGTTTTTATATATATAGATAGACTAGATAGATGGAACGGTAGCGAAAGGGATTGATTCGATGCTCTTGCGTGATTTATTCTCTTCGAGTGTTTGGGAGAACAGCTAGCTCGATATGGAGGTGCTGGAGCCACTCAGAAATATCTGTTGATTATGTTTTCTGTAAACCATTTTTCCGAAACTCGGAGATGATCCGCTCCAGCGATCTCCAACAGATCGAGTCTTCCAGATTCCTTCAGAGTCTTCAAACCGATCCGGTCCTCCTTATACAGAGCGGTATCTTCCATATCGCTGACTGCAACATCTTGATTTGCTTTGTACCACCTGGAAAATCGAACAGTCTCTTGGGCTTCTAATTTCCAACCCGATCCAACGGTGATGGCCGGCTCATGCCTTGCATGATTCAGTATTGTCAAAAAAAATACGATTACAGTCTCCATACCCGAACCAAGAGCTCTCTCGGGGTTGAACGATTGAGTCTGCCCCGAACTTCACCAGAACCAGTTTCTCAAGTTTGCTGAGGTTTTCCCTTTGGGGGCAAGGATTCCGGATTGGTTATGGTGTGTTCTCTCTGATACATAATATGTAGGGCATACTACTCCTCCGACGATGAGCGAGAAAAAAACGAAACATTTGCCTTCTCTTACCTGTACGTCTGATTCACGACACGCTCGTTGTTGATATCAGCTAAGAAGATGCTCTTGTTAGCGTAGGTCTGCTCATCGTTTGGGTCGTGCCAGTACTGGGCAGGAACCAGCTCGTTCTGGACCCAAGACCAATACGCTCCGTAGTCCAGAATTTTTCGCGTGTATTCACATAGCGTCGATGAGCTACCAGGGCATCGGGGAAGTCCGAAGACACCCTGGTGCTGACCGCCTTCGGAACGATTTGCATAGTTTTAAACAATCCGATGATTCCATATCGCATCGAACTCGAAAGATACGATCAATGGCATCCACGCTGGAGATTCGAGCCGATTAAGATAAGTCTCAGCTGGCGGGAGAATCCCGACAGTCCGAAACTCGCCGTGCCGATGGACGAGAATGAATTTCTTACCGAGCGAAACGAGGACTTTCATTGGCGGGTTACGGCATCTCTGCGCCACTGCCCGCAGAAATTGTCCTCCCTGACTGAAGCCGACGGCGTGATATCCGTTTTTGAGATCGGGATCCTCTCGGATTATCTTGCAAGCTTCCGCCACCTGATCGTTGCTGTTCATCAGATAGGAGTTCTTCATCTCGTCGACGAAATTTGAACCGATTTTCAACGACAGAACCTTCAGGGTAGGGGAGAAACATCATATGTTGGAATCATCGATGATTCGTTCTCGATTACAGCAGATTGATGAAAGATAATTGAATTCTTACTTTAGTGCCATTGAGCTCTCTTTCGAGGTATGATGTGAAGCCCCCAATACTCAGAGGGTTGCAACACGTGTCCCCAAGTCCGTGCCATAGCACGACAGGCGTGCCTGCGAAGGCGGCTGCGAAAACCGGCGCTAAACCTAGGAGACCTTTCAACAGCATATCCGCCGAGCTTCACTAACGCAATGAATCCACCGCCAGTGCTAATCCTATCAGACGATAGCGCTGCGTTGGAGAGAAGTGTCCTCTCCATGAGCGGGCTTTCTGCCTCGAGCAGCGCATTGGAAGATGCGAGAATCTCTCGTCCCAGACACCGATGCAAATGCCGGACTCCGACGAATACCTCCCTAATTTAGGGCTCTGCGGGACTGAGAGGATGGTTTTGGAATTTCGTCACCTACGCCGATTATCGCCCGCGGACACAGGCAGCTCTTTGCTTGTTGATGATGGACGCTGAATGTCGAACTACGAGCGGCATAGAGTGAATTCATCTTGAACTTTCATGCATCCAAAAACTGGTCGGAGATCATGATAATTCCTCGTTTATTTAATAATTCGCTACAAACCGACCACACGCAGTTCGCAGCACATGAGGTCTTCCCCTGAGAGGAATAACCATAAGCCAAGTGAAATAATCATCACCGGGGGCTGAGGTACTCAGGGAGGACACCGGAACCCAGGCTTCGAGCACTCACCCGAGGGTAGTACAGACGACTATCACGATTCGGCAACCCGATTCTGAAGAGACCCACTCACCCGATGCGAGTATCCTAACGAGCGGGTGCCCGGGAAGTACTACCCGGGTAGTGAATGCCTTGATGTATACGCATCATATTGACGATACGCAGTTTCCGGGCAGCTCATGGTCGACTACCTTGATAGATCGGTGCCTCAGTATCTTCTCGGTGCCTCAGTACCCCCTCGGTGCCTCAGTATTAAGCGTTTGACTCTCGCTCGGAAGGTTGCACATACCTTACGGACCATCTAGAAGAAGACAAGTGGTTTGCACAATAATAACCACCGTGAATCAGCTTGACTTGTTTAATCGTCGCAGATAGTATGATTGCTGGCCTAGAAGCATTCAGCATTGGCTGCGAATTAACTCCGCTTGTCTATGTGAACGTGGGAACGCCAAAAGTTTTCTCGACTCGAGCATCCAAGCGATCTCGCAAACGAAACAAATCCGCCGGAATTTCTGCGTCACTCGACGTCCAAGCGATGAGAAAAGCTCGAGAACGCCGATGAGTGCGGAGAAGCTCAAACCGAGCACTGTATCCATCACGATTCGGTCTTTTCAGAGGCTTTCCGTTTTCTCCAGTCTCTCCCGTCTTAGGAGCCTCGCTACACCGATTCGGTCGCCGACTACAAATCCCCGTTCCGGCGCGTCGACGCGTCATTGAAATATCACTACCCGGTAGGTTTCTGCCCCTTCTCAGGAGTCAGGATCCTTGAACTCAGTCGTTCGACCAGAGAGGTCAGGATCCTCTTGAACGGAGGCGTCCGGCTCCCGGCGGCGCACGCTCCCTCCTCACAGCGCTCGCGGTTGAAGTCGAAGAACTTGCGGAAGGTTGAAGCTCACAAACAGAGGGAACAGGCGGCTTGGGCCCTTGACAATTACAGATCCTCTGGTGGTCTCAGCCCGAGTGTCTCGGCTCGCCACACCGACAGGGATGAAGGTCGAGAGCTCCGGATGCAGGAATCGTCTCGGCGTACCTCGATCCGTGATTAGCCTTCGATCGAGGACAGTATGTCGATATATTTACTATAATTCGCCCACCCCGATCGGGTCCTTCCGCGCTCGGGAAGCGCACTGCCCCCGAGAGAATGATGTCACCAGAAGGAAGAGAATACGCTATTTCTGAGTCTCCGCAGAAAAGCGTCCCAGACCCGGAATCGTCGTTGATTCATTTTGATAATTAACTTCTTTGAATTCCATTCTTGGACTGAATGTCAGGAGGGCGACATGATGTGAGTCCATCGAAATTCATTTCCAAACCATAATCGGAGTTCAGGGATTATGCGCAAAATGCATTCCAAAGTATTCGCCGGGTCGGAGTTTCAGTTGTAACCGGAAATCCACCACTCAGATACCCGACTATTCGAGTCCAGGAGACGGATTCATCACCCGGGCTTCGACACCTGGCAATCGCGATCTCTGCTCATGGCTTCACTCTTGCGCTGCGAGGAATCTGTGCTCAGAAAGGAAAGAAAATCGGTGCTCGAGTTCCGATACCACAGTGAGAAATGAGGAAGAGCTCCCCTCACGAAGCACAGGGCGCTACACAGCGATGAGTCCTTGGCACCGAGAGCGGATAGGGCGCCGGTAGACACCGAAGTAGAGAACGATTTAGAATCGGCCATTGACCGCGATCATGCGGAGAACGGGCAAATTGGAACTCCTTAAGGGAATGTACTGCCAAATTCCATCGCAGTTGGCGACGCGGGCCACAGGAAATTACATGTGGAGCTCGATGAAGCCCGTGAGCCGCGGGTTGTCCAGCCGTGCTCCATGTGATTCCAGGTCCGGAATCCCCGTGTTGGTTCCATGAATCCCGAGGGAACATGGAGCTCAGTCAAGGGTTTCGGAAGAACTTCTTGGTCCTCTGGAATACCCGGGTCACAAGAGCCGTGTGATATCCACTCGACATTCGAATCTATTCCCACTCCGACTTTGAATAGGAGAATTTTTTTGTCTCAGTGAGTTTTTGCCCATACGTTGCCTCTGTATATTCGCTACTGTGCTTTTTTGGATCTGCTAATGTGCAACCGTGGATTTTTCTCACGATTGCAGGGGCGCAAGTCTAAGGCGAGCTCGCACTCCTGGAAGAGTTTCTTTGATTGGAGTGAGGGTGGGCGCCGCCCACCTGGGACCGTGGGTCCGATCCGCGGGATCTGCTCGACTCACGCAGGTGCAGCCCAAGGCATCCGCGAGTCTCATACCAGGAACTGCTCGTCGATAAGAGAGATTGCGCGGATGGTGACGATCCGCGTTACAAGGTATCTTTTTTCGCGGATCCGATATCTGCTGATCTCAAGGAGAATTTCGAAGAGGCTTCGCAAAAATCATTGGGGAGAGATGCCGCAATGCTTTCGCCCGCAACGCTCCGCTGCATTTCACCAACACTAGAATGCAGCTTCTGAGTATAGTCCCTTGACACTGCGATCAGCTTTCTTAATCAAGGCTTCCTTCACTTCTAGGGTGGGCTTCTTCGCAGGATCTCCCGCTCAATATTCCCGAGGAGCCAGGCGATCTAGTCTTCGGAGAGCCGTCAGGATCGCTGCATCACCGCAACGCCACGGGTGAGAGCAGCATTGACTCACACAATGCATTCGAATCTACACAGCAAACAGACGAGGTATCACCTTGCCGCCAGACTGCCATGCTTCACTGCATTTGGGCTACTATGGAGATGACTTCAGCTGGGCGTCAGGAAAAATTCAAACAGCAGAGCTCAATCACCGAAATCGCAAACGGAGAACCTCGAACTCCTCATTGGTCGAAGACTCGTTACATGAGATCAGCCGGAATAATTCCCGACCGGAGGCTTCTTCTCGTAGGCGGAGTCCTGATGGGGATGCTGGAAAACGTCATAGAATTCTGAATTTCTCTCCCTGGACCCATGGGAATATGGAGTTCAAATGCTCGAGGGAAAATGCCGAAGTCCGCGAGATTTGCGGAACATAAGCTTACCGTGATTGCTCCCGGGCCCTCCTTGCCTCGGCCAAGCGCCGATCGCCAGTCCGATCGGCATTTGGAGTAAGCCTCCAATGATTAGAGGCTCACTTCGGCGAGTGCGAACTGTCGATGTCGTCGATCGAAAAAAAGAGGATACGAGGGAAATAAGAGCATTGCCGCTCTTAATCGCATCCCATAATACACTGCGTTTTATGCTTCGTCGGGGTTGCAGAATTTTTCCGGCGTTTTGACCGGCAGCTTCGATCCCGTGGCGACCGTGTCAGATGTTCCCGTACTCACGGTTTCTCGGATGACAAAGCGGGAGTTCCCGCCGAACAGCAGCGGTTCCACCCCTACGAGAGCAGAGCCCACGACGCGCCTGAATCACACAGCGACCCACGTCTTCGACCGAAGCCTAACCCGGCGCTCAGTTCCGCACAGTGGGGAGTATCGCTTTCCGATGCGGCCGCGAGCCACGATTTCTTCAGGAAACAGTTGTGGAGTTGTCGCTCACTCGCGAGATGCTCGGCTTTTCTTATGGATTAGGATTAATGTTGAGTGATTCGCATATTTCCACCACTCAGCAGTGATCCCAAACCACTGGTGCATACTCGGCAGATTCCTCTTTCCGGAACACCGATGAATGCGTTCACTGATGCACTGCATTGGCTTGACGTGTCGTGGCGTCCCCGACTGAATTTCACCGTCGTAGATGAGCATCACGACACGGGAACCCCAGCGATCCAGCCTGGGGCATGTCACCATGCCCGAGTCGGAGCCGAGTTTCCTTGGTTTGGCGAAAAGTTCTCGACACGGCGGACGGACGGATTCCTGAAGACGCTCTCAACGGGAGGATTAGGATCATTGCTGAGTGATACGTTAACAACCACCACTCGGCAATGATCCCAATGCGCCTTTTGAGACTCGGGAATGACTCTCATCTCCGTGAACCGGCAGCTCATGGCATCACATTGAACCCGATTGCGCAGTGAAAGCTTCCCTGAAATTATTGAGCCGGACCTTCGGACTTACCGCAAGCCCACGACGGACGTCGCAAGCGTCATCTCTGTCCGTGGAAAACCGAATTCGGGAGACTGCGGAAGCCGAATCCACGCTGCTCAAGCTTTTCGGTGCAGCAAACCAAAGCCACTCGTTTGGGTACGGACCTGAGCTTTGTGTTTGGTGGACACTCACTGATGGTGTTCATGTGCGATCGGGACGCCCTCTGGTAGCTCTTTCGCGAATAGTGCGGACAATCGGCGTAACACTTCGGGCATATACTATATGATGATGCTCGAAAACAAACGCGCATGTAGTCGATTGATACGAAAATCGATGTTGTGCCCAGCGCTCGGAGATCGCGGATTATCCGCATCGGCGGTAAGCACCGACGAGGAGACCACGCTGCCGTACTAAACGGCGGTGAGGCCGGAGCAACTTGATGGAAGGTCGGTCGCTCGCCTGGGAGGGCGTTGTTGACGTCGACTCCGCTCTGAAATCTGCTTTCCGAACTTCTGAAGAGCGAAGACTGAATACTCACTGAAAATTCGATGACCGAGGCGCGCTTATCTCGCGTCTTATCTTCTGATGAAAGTCTTCTCCACTCTCCACGACGCCATCTACTAAACACATGATATCGAAACATAATATCACAGCATTATTATTGATAAAATTCGGTCACCAGGGAGCGCTGGCGACTCGGCTTCTTCTTCCGAAATAGAGGGAAAGGAGGAGGACGACGAGAAAAACGCGCCAAGGGCTGACGAGCGATTCATTGAAGGCTTTGATGACTGAAGAGTGACTGAGAGAGGGAATTAGCGGCGAACGAGATGAGAACGTTGACGAAGCCGACAGTCGTCATCGGATCAAAGTATTTCTCAGCGTTGCGACGTCGCTCAGTCAAAAGGATGAGAAGGCTCCACCGAAAAGATCCGAATTCAGGGACTGACAGCTAAATGGAATGCCGCGGTGGGGCAGATGATGTCCAGCATTACTCCACATCGCTTACGGGGAGTTGCTACGGAAACGGGTTCGTTCCGGAATCTTCAGTCTTGAGGAAAGGTATGCACGATTCGGAGAAGGTTGAACCTTTCACAGAATACACATCAACGTTGGAAGTAAAAAGAATTATCCATGCACGATCAACTTGCCGACTTTAAGGAATGAGTCGAAAGACTCGCTCTATCTCGATCAGACCATTCTGCCTCAGGCATCGTGATTTTCCATCATCAATCAGCGGCTGGCGGGAGAGTTTCGGGGTCGACGCTCCTCCAGTGAGCTCAGTCGAGGATGCTGGACCTTCATATAAGGCTAGTGAGGAGATTCAGCGGTCGGAATTGTTGTTCGCTACCATGCAATGGATCTCTAGCTTCGCCACTATCAAGCGATTAACGTGACCCATGATTGAATAAGGAGAACCGCTGGCGAAAGGATTGATCGTGAATGTGAGGTCCAAGTGGACTCACTGGATGTCCCTCAGGTTATCGCCGTAATGCCTCGCTATCGCAGTTCGAATCCGGTGCCAGTCTTCCCCGGGCCCCTCACGGCATGGTTCACGGAAGGGCTGCCCGTAGCTGAGTGTCGGAGGAATCGCCCCACACCGACCGAGGGTGATCCGCTCCAGCGTCTGTCTCAGCTCCGAGTTCTTCCTTGGCTCTATGCTCTATAAAGTCTTTTGACATGCTGGAACTAAACATTCTTTCCGACTCCCGAAAATGTTTGTGGTTTTTCGTCTGACGTCCCACCGATCGGATACCGCTCGAGTTTCTGTCGTATCAGACATGGGCGGCGCGGATTTCCTCACCTGAAGTTCGAAGGAGAAGGGAAGGTCCCACGCTATAGCAAACATGTAAGACGAAACCAATCCCGTGCCCTCAGCGGGTTGTCCCATCTCGAGGCCCGAGGTGCCTCCGAGTCGCAGGCGAGGCGAGCATACCTTCCGGATACGCTCGATTTTCTGGGCTCCTGAACGTGGAAATGATGGACAAGGGGGGAACGATGAAGGGTGAGGGGAACCAGACAATCCTTTACGAAGCTTCTCGGGAGCTCATTCCATGTCTACATGAGGTTCTGTTCCCGACAAGGCAGCGATGTCGGGCAGGTCAACATTTGTGATGCTGATTCTGTTGTTTTCCTCATCGGGGCGGATTCGCGGAGGAACTGGCGCGAAGGCGAGGTTTTCGCTGATTCTGCGGTCGCTCATGATCAGCGTTTTTGCCAGGATTTCTACGATTGGTATAAATTCATTCTCATTGGACCCAGATCTTGAAATCCGGTCGACGCTTGCTCAGCTCCGGCGTCTCGCGCGGTACGCCACGAACTCACAAGCAGAGAAACTGGGGGGTAGCCGCTGAGCTGCTTTTGAGCTCTCCCTGTCTCCACAGGACTCGTGGTCGCGGTATAGGTTTCACGAGCGCTGATTGCGATCACATGCTCATGGGAAGGCTGGTGCTCCGCAGCCAAGTTAACATAGGCCTACTCAACATCCGCTTGGAACATGACGGAAAGTTTCGCGAACAAGATTTTCTTCCAGGAGATTCGACGAGGCGAGTCGCGTCGACCGGGAAGGCTCCAGAGAGAAAGAACGCCGAATCAAGAATCAATCCCCTTTCATCGCCTGATTTGAGCTCTCTGTCGTTCTCGTCACGAGAGCAGGTACCATGATGATGCTCTCCGAGATGGAATGCATCTTGTTCCCCTGGAGAGCAGCCCCCGCCTGATTATTGCTCTGGAGTTTTGATGAGTTCTAACAACTGAGCTCCCTCTCGAGAACATGGAAGCTGTCGAAGAGGACTGCATTGATAGAATATGCCACGCAGCTTTCGTCTTTGAATCCAGTCGGCTCCGGAGATCTCGTCAAGAATGCTCTCGGAGATCGCCTCCCTGAGGGATCCGATTTCGCCGTCGGTGCTGGCAGCAGAATGGAGAAGGTGAGAACCGAATCGAGCTTAGTTCCCGCCGGAAGTAGTTCCTCCGCCGGGCAAGGCACCGGAGTCCGTCGGTGTGAACCCTCTCGGCCTTCGAAGAAATCCGCTACCTCAGGCAACGCCGCCCGACGGGTCCTCATCGCAAGGGTTGGAAAATACTACGCCGAGGATGCCGATCCCGTAGAAGGCGTTCAAAAACATCAAAAGCTCTAGGGGAATTCCTGGAATTGGTGACCCCCGAGGTACGGTGCGACGTGAGCTACCTACATGAATTGATCTCCTGCCTCCCAGAATCGGATCAACATGCATTTCAAGATATGCCCTGACTGAAGATTTCCGACTGACTTTTGGATGCTCTTTCAACGAAGCTCGCCCGAGGTCTCCAAGCTCGACGCTCCTGCGGCATGCCTCTGATCACGGTCTCAGCTGGAAGCCCCCCCATCATATCTTTCCCGGGGCAGCGTCAGCTGTCCTCTTGTCTTATGCTAAGCTGCAAGGTGACCGGGTTCACTTTTCTATTCTCCGAGCAATTCTAGGATAGTTCCGGCGTGATGCAATAGGGGAGACCGACTTCCCGAGGTCCAACGAAGAACGGGTCACCGACGAGGGGCACGAGTGCTTGTCTCGTCGCCGTTTCGATTCCGCAGGCCATCGGTTCTAGTCTTACAGGATTTCGAATACGTTGGCGATTGGAAAATTAGAAGGAAAAATGCAAGCAGTCTTCTTCGAGGTGAACTCGAGCAACTCCAAAAAAGATCTACCCCGAGCCAGAAAAATGCGAGAATTTTTCGATCATGATGATTTTTATTCGATCACCACGGTTGAGACTTACTCAATATTCATGTTATTAGTTGATATTTTTTTACGCAGTCATTGTCACAAAAGCTGAGATACTACATTCCACCCGACTCCAGGGACCTCTGAAGACCGGATTTATTTGGACACATCAACACACCAAAATCATCGGAATCGAGATCCAAAACTTTCAATAATAAGAGAACTCTCTCCCTTCACCAGTGTCATTTTCGAGAGAGGAACAATCTTGTCTCGGAGAACCAGCGTCGGTCGCAAGTTCACAGCAGCAGAAGGCCCTTCAGGAGTATGATCAGAAAATCGATCGAATCTAATGGAAAATTCACCGACAACGTGCGTTATTCGATTGCGTGTAAACGACACTGATTGACACCGCAGAGCGAGTCTCACGCTCGTCTCGATCGATTTTTGAAGAGGCGGCAGAACCCCAAGGGTAGGATGACCGAAAGCTCTGCGTCTCGACCGGCTCGGATGAAATGGCGTGTTTCAAAGAAACTAGCATGGGTGAGAATATACACGAGAGTCGTTGATAGATAATGGAGAAAGAAAGGGATGTGATTTCAGTTGATGTCGAGGATTTATACCTACAATTTTTGGGTCCATTTTTCATAGTGTCTCGCCCCATGGTCTGAGGATCTGAGGATCGCTATCAAAGAGTACATATACATTTGCACGACGCCATAGGTCTAATGCTCGTCGTTCAACAGGTTTTGATTCTCTTCCGATGGCGGTCCTCGTCGCCGCTGGTTCCGGAGTCTGTTTCGTCGTCCGAATTAGATCCGTCATAGTTGGCCATGTTGGCGGCGTTCCCCCCTGCTTGAGAGACAGAGAACCGAGTTAGCTGGTGAGCTATCTGCATGCAACACTCGGAGAGGATTCTCGTCCGCGGGAATATGTTCATTGAATGTGATGATTGGTCTCCGAATGCAGCTGGAGATATTCACCAGAGTGGGAGTTCTGCAGGACTTGAATACTCTCGATTTGCTTCTCGAGATTCTGATTTTGTTTCTGAAGCTCATGAATGTCTTGCTGATGCGCCGAATTCCTTTTCCGCATCGACTTGATGTACTCGGCCGCTCGTTTGAGAATTTCGGCGCGGCTCACTTTGCTCCCGTCGGCTGCAACAGAAGACAATTCCTCACTAGGATCAATCATAAAATCGATTAACAACGCCCGAGGGATAATGAATTCCCTCGAGTAGGGTCCGTTATCGCATCCACGAGACTGAGCTTGGGTCCCTCACGGGCACGGAAGCGAAACTCACGCTCGAGGTTGGGGACCGCGTCCCGGAGAGAATTGAATGAATGCTTGATATGGTCTCGACGTTTCCGTTCGAGAGCATTGTGATGAGCTCGTTTCTCATCTTCGTTGGCGAAAGTAGTTCTCGCCGCAGAAGAGCCGGGCGACATAATATCATCGTCGGATCCGAAGGATTCGTCTTCACTCATGATTGCGATCTTTTGAGGCTGCTCCAAATATACGTATTCAGTATTCCGTTGCCGCTCCGGATCCTCAACTGGGTTCGTCCAAGGTCCGTGTGCTCAGGAACGGTGTTACGGTAGCTGGAATTGAAAAGTCGTAAGTTCGGCGCAAAACACTTCGAACAAGCTCGAATTTCGACCGCTCTCTTCCAGAATTAAGATGACCGACGGCTTCTACGGCACGATAATGAACCTCGACGGATCGCTTTCCACGTTCTCAAAATACGATACGATTACTCGTCCTCATAGTTACTTTTCCTGAGATGATGTCCCGAACCTCACTGCCCTGCATGGACAATGGGATCCATAGATCAGCTCACCCACCAGCATACCCCAGCATAGACCGAAATGGAGGCACCGGTCGATTCTCCCCGTTCTGATCCGAGTCCGTCATCGCGGATGATGATCCAGTCGGGACGAACTAATGTCCGTGAAATCGGTCGACTAAGCTACTGATCGCAGCTTACAGCAACAATGCGCCGAAGAACGCGGGCGGGTAGAGCGGGTTCCGGAGCACGGCCTTGACTCCAAGGTCAAGTCGGAGCCCTCCGACCTCTAATAGAGGATCAGAGTTCCCAGAAACCGCGACTCGCAAGCCATATCTATCCGAGATCGCGACGTACGATCGCGCCCGCACGGAATGAAAACATATATGTGAGTAAGTTTGCAAGGTTATTACCCTTACTATCTCTAGCAGAGTTTCGAAGCGAGGAGTCGCCACATCGTCTCAGAATTCGCAGCTCGTTCCCGATTCCACAAACGCGGGAAAAGCCCACAGCAAGCTTCCTTAGTCACACAATGAATCGGATAGGCGCCAGCTGCATCTTCCTAAAATGATTCACCAAGAGTCGATGAACTCTCTGAACCTGCCTCAACCGTCCCAACCTGGGCCCTGGATGACTCTAGCGAATCCTTCTCGCGCTCGCTCTCAGTCCCTCGCGCCTACCAGTAGTGACTTTCCATAGCTCCATAACCCCATCGATTTTCACCCTCACAATAGTGACCGCTCAAAAACTACAAACGACCGCAGAAGCTTCAGTTTGCCCAAATCAAGATACCGCGGCGCATCTCATCGATCTCAAGCAACCTGATCGAGCGACTGTAACAAACCGTGGAATTCGCACAAGATCAAAGCTTCGGCGTACGACGGAGCGTTCGGCGAAGAACAGCTGAGGCCTACCCCTCTATTATCGAGGCCTCTCCCGAGTCTGCTGAATCTCGATCGAATGAGTGTTCCGGAATTCACCTTGCGAATCTCCGGAGGTTCCTCGGAGCGATGGGGTCGTATGTCCTCAAACGCTTCACACCCAACAAGCCGCTCCACTGCGCACCAGAAAAACAAATGGAAAATGCACTGAAAAGGACGCTCACCTTGTCTTGTTGATAGCTCTACTGCTCGGCGATCCGCTGCGTGGCTACGGTGGCCAGCATCAGAGGCTAGATCACGTGTAATCTCATCTGCGAAACGGACTTTCAGCTCATTGAATTTGCATCAGCAAGGAAGTTTTTGATCATTGAGGACCTAAAACTTCATTTACGCACGCGAAAAAAGTCTGCGGGATGAGAATCTCGAATTAGAAATTCGCTATCCGCTGGAGTGTCGCTAAGAAACACACCTAAGCCTAACGTAGATTCAGGGCAGGGGCGTGTTTTTCACTTTTTATATAGAGCGTTCTCCTCTTCGATTCCGCAAGCAATCGATCGGTCAGGCTCGATAATGGATTTTAAGATGACTCGCGGCTGATGAATGACCGAAATACTCGGAGAAATGATGAGGATCAGTCGGTTAGGACTAAGAGATCATATTTTGTTTATCAAGTCGCAGCTGCAGGCGCAGACAGCTCCCGCCGCGCGCTGCATGCTGGATGTCCCCTAATATTGAGTCCGCTCTGCGGTTAGCGCTGTAAACAGAGGAGCGCACACTTATGAGCTGAGAAGAGGCTCTGTTCGTTCTTGCTCAGAATGTCGGGCCTCCTCACTCGACTCTTCAGTTCACAACTCCAAATTTCTTGTAGCCGACTGGCACCTCTCGCCGGTAAGTCCTTCCTCTTGCATGAGGGATCGCCATCCGCCTCCGGCGAAGTCGGTCGGGAGCGCGAGCTGGTCTCATGCGCGCACCGGTTGACCTGCGGCTCCGATCGGCCGGATAGCGAAAATGATATGACCGATCCTTGGGTTTCTAGAACCAGTTAGCAGTGACAGAGAGTGAGCAATAACGCGAGTAAAAAAACCCTCCCAGGCACGCAATGCGTACAGCACCTACAGATCCGGGAGAAATCCACGAAACCGAAACGCCGGAAGGTGCATCCGTTCCACTGGTGGGCTCCAAAGAATCGCGCTGACATGAGCGAAGACCTTCTCACTGAAAAGAATCAAGTATTCCTTCAACAAGTAGCTGAAAGAATCTACCTGGGTGAGTGGAGCTCCCGTCGCTCGGTAGACGGGCAAGAGAAACAGAACGGTATCTCAGTCGGTCTAGACTATCCCAATTCTTCTACAACGGGTCTTGCCTCCATGCGAACCGAATCACGGATCATAGCGAGGAAGGGAGCGAATCTCCCCTCGCTTCAGTTTGCACGATTCTATCCCAAATGCGTCTGAACTTTCGCCTCCTTCACAGCACCGGGAGAAAGTCCTTTGAATGAAGAACCATGGCCGATCGGAACCTACCAGGAAGGCTCGCGACGCACTGGAATAATCGCCAAGAAGATCGGCGTCGTACCAATGTGGTTGAAAAGCGGAAAACGGGTACTGGCTTCGATGCTGCATGTGTGCGAACAGAATGTGATCACGTACATGGACCCAGAAACGTACGCGAGGACCCGATTTGGCTTCAGAGGCAAGGGCCACGGTTGTTTGATAGTCGGTGCGGAATCTCGCGATCCGACTCGTTTCAGACAGGAATACCTAGATCTCTTCAAAGAATCCGGCGTGGCTCCCAAAAAGAAACTGACGAAATTCCTGGTGACACCGAACGCTGCACTCCAGCCTGGGACTCCGCTCTTCGCCGGACACTTCAAAGTGGGCAACTACGTTAATATCTACGGGAAAACGATTGACCGAGGCTTCTTGGGTGCTAAACGCAGATGGGGGATGAAAGGTGGGCGAGCTACGCACGGAACCACGAAAAATCACAATCGAATGGGCGCCATGGGCGGACCTCGCGGGAGAATCCTGAAGGGGAAGAAGATGGGTGGACATGACGGTCAGGAGCGACGTCTCTTGGTCGGAGTTAAAATTCTCCGCATAAACTACAAGCACGGTGTGATCTATGTTCGAGGGCCTAGTGTCATGGGAGAGATAGGTGCATTTGTGCAGATCTACGATGCACTCATACCGGAGAAGCGACCGAAAGAGGATAATATGCCGCCTTTCCCGACTTACTTCCCCGCTGAGACGGATCCTCTTCCGGAGGATGTTTTCGACGAAACTGTGCATCCCTTCGACGCGCCGAGCATAGAATTCGAGCAGGAAGTTCAAGTCAAGAGGAAGCTCAAGGTCAAAGCCAGAGCCAAGGCGGCGGGTAAGCGATAGAGAAGGGTCTGATGGGGAGAATGAGCTGGTTTATGTAGGGTGTATTCGTGCTGCCTTGAATAAAATAGGACTTCTGTGGCCGAGAGCGGTCGGTCGGTTGGAAATTTCAGCTTTTGTATCTGCCTTGATTAACTCCGCGTACCTAGACCGTGGTCTCCGATAGTGCATCGATCCACTGAATCATGCCAGAAGCGCTCTTTTGGCACAAAGGGTATGCCCTTGGGACCTCCGATTTCAGGCTTCTGGCTCTAGGCATCCTGTGTATCGGCATCAGTGGAGAGAGTTCCGTACGGGAGGAGCGCGAGCAAACTTGTGGGACTGCGTTCATGCTCAGTCTGGGATGTTCCCTCTCGATTTTGTCAAATCTTTGGAGAATCATCTCCCCGTATTCGAGACGAAAAACCGCCGTATCAAGAACCGGCATCTCGAAAGGCTAAAAAAAATACTATGTCCTCAGCATTTTATTGCCTCAGGTCTGATCACCAGGAGCCCGCGAGGATTTCTCAATAGGTAAAAACTCAATTTCATCGAATTCACACTATTTTTATTGATCGATCACGCTTTTGGGTTTGATTTCCCTCGTGATAACTTAGCTTCTCGCTGCGTATTGCTGATCAACGAGCACTCAACGCCGATTTCAGCTCTCCGATTCCGCCTGGGGCATTTCCCCTGCGACTCCTTCTATCACCTCCTCGATCGCCCCTCCCGTCACTCCCTCCGTCCCTAGGCCCGGGTCTTCTCCCGTGCCCGCATCCGTCACCTCCACTGGTTCCCCCGGCACAGGGGCCACCTGCTGAAGACTGAGCACGAAATTCCCGCGATTACGTAGGACCAAGATACTGACGGTCTCACCGTTTCCGTCCTGAAAGGTACGAGTCTCGAGGAATTCGTTGAGCACGTACGGCAACACTTCGGTGAGATTCAAGATGAAAGGTGGTCCCGAAAGTGGAAGACCTTGATTCGGGTAAGCTTCCAAGATGGTTGAATCTCGCTCTTTGACCACCTTGGCGCCGACAAAGTCGATCACGGGAGTGTTCCCGAGCTGATCGGGAAGCGTGGCGATGTAGTCAGCGATGCCGAGAAGACCGGATGAGTTGTAGGCTTGCTGCGCGAAGTTCAGATTTTTCTGCACTAATCGATAACCTTTGGCAATAACTCGCATAGTTTCTGCGAATGATCTTCCACCATTGTTGTGACTCCTCAAGGCTTCCTCTCCCAGAACGTTTCCATCTTCAGCAATCCTGCTCAGTGAGGGGGAGGACGACGGTGGAATTTGGGCTCCGAGAACTGAGTGCGAGGTTGCTGAAGTCAGTGGGATTCGGATGGAGCCGGAGGCAACATCGATTGACGGATCGTGATCGACAATTTTCGGCCCGTCGACAGAGGCAGCAGCCGAAGCTGAATGTATCAGCGCGGAGACAATCAGAATGACGTTGGATGTCTTCATTTTCACCGGTCCGATTTTCGGGTATGCTGCAGGAGCTTGAACACCGGATTAGAGAATGCAGAGCGAGCGGAGGACCTGTTCTTATACTCGGACTGCGTTCTCTCATGCCAGGCGCTCCCCGGAGACGCGTCCCGTGAAATGTTAGATGAGGGTACATATTTGAGGTCGGCGAACACCCGCAATACATTGCGCAGCTTTTCGACTATCTCGAATCGAACCTTTCGGGCTCTCTCCTCGTAATCCCTCACTGATGAGCCATTTCATTCCAGGGGTTTTGTCTTCGAACAAACCACCTGGTCTAATCGCGGGTCATAGCCGAAGCTCCCGATTCTTCGCAGGGTTTCGGAATTCCGACGATGGGTTCGAGGCAATTAGCTTCTCTCTCCCATTGAGCCGAATCTTCGTCGGATTCCGTAGAGTCGCGCCTCGCTCAATATTCGGGGAATGGGAGTCCGGGTTGAACGATGTCGAAGCTCTTTTGCCTTCTAGGACATGGGGGAAGCATTGCAGAATGCTTTCCATCACGTGTTTCCGATTTTCCAAGCCGATTTGCTTCTTGCGGTCGGGAGACGCGTTCAAGTTCTCGAAACCCTCTCTTATCGTGAGAAGGCTGTCGAATTGCATAAGGGCGTCGAAAGAAAATTTTCGCATGAATCCAGCTAGAAGTTCCAGGAGCTTCGAGCCTCAGAGGGGGGCGGGAACGCGGCCAAATAGGCACAGATTAATGCAGAATCGGCATCTGAAGTGAGAAAAATAGGCACTGAGAATAAGGGAGAGCATGGAGTGATTTTTTGAAGTATCTCAGGTCGTCGAGGAAATGATTGACCGTCGATACAGCGTGCGAGGGATCGGTTTTTCTCAGGTCAGATCAGATTCATGATCCTCGAGAAACGCTGTCTCCCCCCTTCTCCATTCCCATCATTTCGAGCATCATTGCGGTCAGGGAATTCTCTTGCAGGAGCTCAAAGATTCTGGTTATCAAGATCGGTAGGGACGGGAGTTGAGGGGAGTGAATATGGATGAAATCGACATGATCTCCTATTCGGTATTGAAATTCCTGCATTCGGAAACGGCACATTTTTTTCTCTCTCTACGCTCCATTGTCGAGGGAATTCGATTGCGGGGCGCACTGCACCTTGCCGCTCGCCGCTCAGTTGTGGAGCTCGGGCGGAGGATGGCATGTGGGTGTCCACACAAACCACATGCTGGACCCCTGGGCCGATACGGGAAGCATTTTCGGCAGGGAAGATTGAGAAGAATAGGGCGACAAAACTACTTTCTCAGGCATTTCTAGCTCTTACTTCGACTCATGAGCAAAGGCGTAGAGATGCTGGTACATCTCGTGGACTTCAAGATCTCTGACATTCCGTATGATCAGGGCGGGGTGGATCTCAGAAGCGGATTCCGGCGTTCCATGATTCCGTACTGCGTGAAAGCGTTCGACGGGAGGAAGCAGCCACTAGAGCGCTTCCAACAGCGCATCAACGTGTAGCTGTCAGCGAGGAAAGAACAGAAGCTACCGAAAATTGATTTTTCTAATGTGTGACCCAGGCGGAGTAGCCACACTGATGGTCTTTGGTAGAGATCGGGCGTTCCCTCGATCTCCATGAAGCGGCAACCAAAAAGATCTCGAAAGCGAAGCATCAATCGAACTGAAGGATCGGAAAAGTCGAGGAAACTATCCGATGCTGATTCTGCGAAGCTCAAACCCGAGGGCGGTGGAGACTCTGACGCGGCGAAAGGCTCACCTCCACAGAAGCGACCACGGGTAGAACCAGATGTGTGGTTGACCCCAGAATGGTCCGATGTATCTAATGAGGTTGACAGCGTTTTCGCGCTAGAGGACCCGGACTCGCGGATATCCGAGATGTATCAGAACGTGGAATTTCTGCAGTGGACCGCGGATCATATCGTGTACAATCTTCAGCCCAAAGATGAAGACATAGAGCGAGTCGCCTCCTGAAAATCTCCCGATCATCGCGAATATTGGAGGGTCGCTCGTGCTTGTGGCATAAATTAATGGACGGATAGAGACGAAAAACGAATCTACCGAAGGCTGCTCGGAGGAAGTCCGATTTTATTGTGAACAGAGGATAAAAACTTCCACAGCTGAACGTTGCTTTGCTTGACTCTGGTCCGTTCCAAAGTCGTCAGGGAGGATCTTCCATACCGCGCAGGAATTGATAGAGATCATTGAGTTGTGTGTTCTCCCTCCAGTTCCGCGGAAATCCGGGCACTTGTTATGGACATTGTATGAGGAGAATCGTCGAGAAGAAATATTATTCGCATAAAATAAATTGGGTTGTGATTTTTTGTTGAGATTAATCATTCCTTGATTGGATTCGTTCCGCTTCTGGCACCAAAATGAATGATGGAATGGGAAAACTTTCGAGCCCCCGATAAACTTTGGCTCGGCGTCCAGCCGAATGGGTCGATATCTTTTTCCTTCCCGTCGAAGTATCCAAACCAATGGACTGCATGCTCAGTATCCCTCTGGAGAGACAGTGGAAGATTTCTTGGAAGTTGTCGTTGATGAGCTGCTCCGATCAGGATCTTCGAGATAGTTCCTCCGCTTTTCCGTTCCGCTGACGAGACCCTGACCTTTCAATCCTGCGATATTGGATATACCGCCCTGGACGGTGAGGCTCGGTGGAACGCTTAGTCTTGCGCGGAGAGTCTTCCGCTGGTAGCTCGACTCAGCAGCGAGATAAACACCTGCGACGATGATCTGCGCCGCGCAGAAAATTCCGGTAGTGAGTGGTGGTGCGTTTTCATAGGGGAGGAGCGGGAAGGCCAACACCAGGAGCTCTACAATGTGGAGGCCAGCTATGGACATCCCGAGAACATGGAAGAGACTGAGGAACTTCATCGGGAAGACATTCTTTCCTTCTTGCGAAATCAGCAAAAGCGCCAGCATGTAGAAGTTATTCATCAGGTAGAATGTACACATGTACGACAGCAGCACGCTGTACCATATATGCCCCGCTTTCTGAGCCACGGAATTGCTCAAGACGAGCATGATGAAACTAATTATCGTGAGGGAGGTCAGGATTATGCCCCTGGGCGACTTGACTGTCCTTGGAATATTCCTCGTGGAGATGTAGAGCTTATCGGTTTGAGGCATGATAACCGGCGGTATGCTTAATGAGGCTTCGAAATCTCTCCGAACCTTGTGAATTCGTCGTTGTTCAGCTTGGAGGAGTCTGCTGGCGTGTAGCTTGCTTGTCTGCATGTTTAGAAAGTGCACTTGTCTAGAAAGTCGATTGCAGGACTATGAGCTGAGGGCTCGGCGGAATATGAGGCTGTGGGAGCGCGGGAGTTCCCTACAAATACTCATTACTGTGAAGTCATTCAATGACAAAAAAAAAGGGTCAAGAATAAGCCAGAACAATCCAAGTCCACCCAGGAACGACGAAGCTCTGTATCCGGTTAGCTCAGTGAGGGTCATCACAGAGGCAATCCTGAATTCCGATTCGGACTGGATCGAGAAAACATCCGCTCAGGAGTGATTAGATGTCGTCGAGAACAAGAATGACGCTCACTGAGAACAACTCCGAATTTCTTCAGGCTCCGTCGATACGAAACTAGCTGTATATATGTACACATATGTGTACATTTATATGTCTCCATATATTCCGAAGAGCCCGTGGTGGTAGTCATGATTTTGCGATACGATGAACCAGATGATTCCCAAGGCCATTCCCGATCGAATTTCAGGAACCCCAGGCTATTCTCGATGGTTAGCATGATCACTCCAATGGTACGCTGGTGTCAAGAAAATCGCGCTGACATCCGGCGAGACTACTCCGTCCGTTGACTCGAGGGCGGAATCCCCATTTGAAGATGCCGCAGGGCGAGTCTCAGGGAGGTCAGCATCCTTCGCTCTGTTTTTATTCGCACCATCCACGCTTTCTCGCTTCGGCGAAGACGTCGACCTGGTTGCCGACCACGGTACTTCAGTTTTTTCCGAAATCCTAGCCTGTGACGAGTGCATCAGTATTAAAATCGTGCCATAGAAATTGAATCAGCATCGCCGAGATTTGAGGAAGAGAGGGAGCGAGGGATCTGGCCTGACTATACGATTTTGTCCCAGGAATATTTCTCTGATAGCGAAAACTCTTACACTGGAGAACTTATGAGCAACTTCGTTGCTTAAATCCCCATCCGGATTTTCCTCGTTGAGGAATTTCCTGAGCCAATCCAATACGGCTGATAAACGACCCCTCGCGATGGCATCTACATGCTGAGTCAAGATATCGTTGATAGCTATGGGGAGGAGAGTTGCAGGACTGGTCAGGAGAACGCTTCAAAGATGGTCCGTGAGGGAAGATGTCACTTGCCCCCACAGGTGAGCTTGAGACATCCCTCGACTCCCGATATCGATTTACAGAAAAAGCCGCAGAGGATTACGAGCACACCTTGTCTCCTCTGTCGTGTCACCCGGACCAGGTCAATTGGAGCCACCTTAGCGTTCTCAACGAAATCGATGACGGCATCCGTGACATCACCCAGTGTGCAGTTCGCCTCTAGAGAGTGCTTCATGAATGCGATTGGATCATTGAAATCGGTCGAAATCCGCGCTGATTGAATCGAATACGTCTGGTTGGCCTCCCGGATCTGTTTCAGAAGATCGGCTTGCCTGAAATGTCATTATGATGGGATACCTAAGTTTTGAGATTGATGGCGACAGCTATATCACCTCATGCTTTCGCTTTCAATCGCGAGGCATCTTTCGGGGTCGCAGGCGATGAGGAGTACCGTCGGATTTGCTCCAAATCTGTCGTCGCATCCTTGTCTACGGGAACATCGAAGGTTTTCTGTTGGGGGATTTCGATCACTGTGTCGATATGTTCCTTCGAAGCGCCTCTTTTGCGCTCTTCTCTCGAAGGTTGAAATATGAATTCCTGCGGGAAATTGCCTCAGTATGTGGAACCCGATTGTAGGATCTCTCTGTAGATAAGGAGAAGCGGGAAACAGAATTCGGTATCACCTGTGGTACAGTAACCGCTTTGGGTTTCACGAGAGGGATCACCGGTTTGGGTTTCTTCTTCTTCTCCGAATTGACAATCTTCTTGACGTTGACAGCAACACTGACTTGTCCGCCACGGTAGTATTTGATGTCCGGCGCAAACACTTGAATCGTGACTCTGAATGATTCTTCTGCTTCGACCGCGATGATTTCGAAAACCTTTGGGCAGAATGAGGATCTGTTGTAGACTCATCAGGAGGGGATTCTCTGCTGCGTCCCTTCATGTCCACTTCTCGAGATATTCTTCGGAGGGCCGCTTCTTTGGTCGGGAGTTTAAGATTCCTAAGCTAGGACGCTCGGGATAAGTTTCAATCCGTGAGTCGGATTCCTGAGCTAGGACGTTCCGGATGGGTTTCAATCCGTGAGTCTGAGTCCTGAGCTCGCGAATTGAGCTGCCTACCTCTACAGATTGCGGGTGGATAATCAGGGCCTCCGGACGGATCACAATCTTCTTGTCTGCGGGTATCTTGAAGTAAACGCGTGACGAGTAGTCGTCGATGTTCTGCACGGTGAGCAACGTACTCCGAGATTCGCCTTCAGGGAAGGACAGCACATTCTTAGAAGCAACTTCGCAAAGGGCACCATAGCAGGCACCTACTCGCTGGGACAGCGATAAATCGGAATTGGATCGGTGAATTCCTCACCAGGTTTTGGTACGACGATCTGTAAGTTCGGTGATCTTGAAAAAGGCTTCAAAAGTAAAAACTCCGAGGGATTGGAAGTGCTCTCTTTCTTCTTGTCCCTCTTGGGTGGTGAGTACATAAGAACCCCGCCGGGTCGCGGTGCGTCGTGCGACATTTTCGCGTATCGGTCTCTTATCCGATACCGAACGAGAGACAAGGAGACCGCGAGCCCATCTGTTCTCTCCGAAACATAAACATGTGGTGCACGCCATGGAACGCGCGTCTCGTCGAAAACCCGCATCAGAAGGCTCGCCTTGATGCGCCTCCAGAACATAAATGCATTTGTGAAACCGAGATCATCATTTATGCTTCAACGATCCGCCGGAGTAACAGACATCCGGAAATCCGCAGGCAGTATCCATCATGTCCATCATGCACTCCATCTGAACTCCCGAAGGCCCCTCTACACCCATTCCATAGAGGGAACTAAAGAGCTTCATCTGATCCACGACGGATTTTTCTTGCATCTTATTGTCCACTCCATCGAGGGGGCTCCTAGGCATTCAGACGGCGATTCGGACGTGTACGTGGGATGTACAATCAGTTTGTAGGGCTTGGGTGCCTGAGTTTGGAGCAATGTCTCTCAATCGAAGTCTTGCGCCGGTGCTACGTATCCAAAGAATGAGAGAATCTCGAGAGAACCTATCGCGCTGTGGGATGGTGTCCCGAGTCAGGGAGAGAGATACACCCCCTGGAACTCGATGCATTCCCTCGCTCGATGCAGTCATGGCACGTCTGGGACCTCGGAGGGGGAAATCACTGAACCTCAAAGCTCAGAGAAGCCGGTTTTTCCAGGTATGTTTCGCCAGCGCTCGTTGTCGGGGAGAGAAATCAAAGTTTCCGGGAATATTCCGAGCGGATTTTTCGAGCTCGTCCGGGAGCACAGTGATATGGCGCCAAATCGAAGATCGCGCACGGTGAAATTGCCCGGAGCTGAAATTACGCCGAAAACTCTCGACAAGCAGCGCATCGAGGCCATTGTGAGGAGGACTGTTAGGAGTTTTGCGCGATCTCATAGCCCGCTTCTTGTCCTGCCGCAATTATAGTTCCGCGCGCCTTTAACTCGTACGCTATTCTGTTTCTTTTTGAGCGATTCCGGCTCCGCGCGATTTCAGTTCATGCGCGATTCTAGCACACGGTCCTAGTCTCTGTGGCAGGAATTTTTCGTCGTTTCGGAATTCAGTCGCGCGTCTCCGCTCATCTTAGTTGGTAATTTGCTCTTAATAAGCGACTCTCCGGAAAGCTCCAATTTGATCTCGAGGATTCTGTGGTCTGAGGATTTTGATTGCTCCTTATGTGGCTTTCTGCAAATGATAAGTCTACCTGGCAACAGTCGGAGAAAGTCTCAAAATTACCGGGGAACTTGAGCGCATCCCAGTGATTTTCCTGATCCGATCCAGAATCGTTCTGTGCGAAATGTTCCCTCGAAGAGGAAGATGTTGCCGCTCTCGATGTTTTCGGGGAGCTACACACATATTGGTTGTTAGGCCACCCGTCTAAAAAAGGTTTCCTGTTTGAGAAAGCGGCGTCAGGAGGAGCCCTTCAATCATGTTTATCTCTCTGTCATTATCAATTTTTCGCCACTGACAAGTTGGCTCTATCCGATCATAGATCTATCTCCGATTGTGGAGGAAGAGGCTTGAGCTATTTCAAGCGGACCTTCGCATCGAGGATGACTCCACTCGCGCTGAATCTGGGAAAGTTCGCATCTCTGGAAAAGGGTTTCGCGAGCACTAAACGATGCATTCATAACCTGGGCACGCGTCCACAGACTGACTTCCGATAACGTAAATGGCCGAGGGCTGTTGGCGAATGCCGCTCCAAGCCGATTCGCGAGGGAAGAAATCGACGTCGAGCGAGGAACCTAAGTGTTATGTCCGAGACCTGCTTCTGTCACTTATAGGCTTCACGCGAATTAACTAATTCTTTAAAGAAGACACATTCCTCCACCGTCTGATTCCGCGACAATGCATGTCCCGGGATCCTGGCGACCCACTCTCGAGCTCTGTCGAGGAATTCCTCCACATCTGGGGAGCCGCCAACCGAACGGGATGGGCACTTGAAGTAACATCGCCAGGAATCAGAGCTGTAGAATCCACCGTTGACTGGATCCGTTCTGCTCAAGAGGACAATCGGTCCACTCAACGTTCCCAAGCATTGCCGAGAGGCGAGGCAGCTGCTCGGAACGACCCTTCTTGAAGGACACCATCGCGACGTATAAAGCCATGTTAGGCTCGCCATCCACATAAACGTCCGAAACTATACTTGGCTCGACGTGTGATTCGCAGAAGTCATGAAATCCCGCAATCACGGCTTCTCTTCCGAGTCAGGTGTCTTAAATATCTCCCTTGATTTGTATTCGCATGCGGCGACTAGTCGGTAAGCCCCACACCCTGTCAGCGAAGAATTCTCGCCGTTTCCTCATTCTGCCGGTCTATCCTATTTACCATCGCTTCACCCGAGTTTTGTACTTTCACAACGAACTCGCAGTGAGTGGTGGAGTCAGGATTGAGTCAGGTACAGTTCTCCTCGAGGGTTGGATCGTACTTCACGGGAGGATCAAAGAGGAGGGGAGCTCGGACTACGAGAGGTTGATCGATGCTTTGACGTCGCGGTCTAGTGATCGGGTCACGCTCAGGGGCAAATGAATCCGTCAACGACCGGCTTCGGTTCGCTGCCAAAGGCTTCCGATAGAGTTTGGCTCTCATTAAATAGTATTTGTTGCGATCCCCTAATCGATGCTTATCCGTGCGATAAGAGCAACAGCCTGGAGCATGATCTGCAGCGCTTGGCCTACATAGGTTTTTTAATTCTTCAAAGGGAGTAGGCTAATTGATAAAGATTGCTCATTAGCCATTCGAATCGTTGCAGTCACTATCAGTTAGCTCCGTGGATCATGAAGTCGGCTGCTCGATTCCTCAACGACCAAGCCCGCGGGGCTGCTTTTCAAAGATGCATCAAAGGACTAAATTCTGATTCGTATGACGCCTCCAATCCACGCGAAAACAGTCCATTCCGTAGGCACAATGCCATCGGAGGGACCGATCTTTCATTTTGAGGGGCGCGCCGCAGAGAGTGGAGAGCCCGCATTCCGTAAGAAGTGAATGCGGGGAATCTCCCGCGAGAACTCTATCCCGAGATGTCAGCTTTTTCCCTCGAGTTCTCCCGTGTAAGCGAATAGGGAATTACGATCCGTCGTTTCTTTCCGTAGAGAGTGTCACGAGTGTCACGAGTGAGGTGGAAGTTTCCTCGCAAAGTTGAGTACCGAGTCGATCTCGAGCCGCCAAACTCACTCATTAGCTAGATTATGACCGCACCTTCGCGCCTCTCCCGGAGAGTGTCGTGGTGAGACAGCCCCGTACATATTCGAGGCAATTAAGGCGTACTTGCTCAAATTTCAAAGTCATTCGAGTTTCCACCCCACCCGTCACACCATTCTCCTCGTTCTTTGACGTAGCTCCAATCTCCCGACCGTCCGTTGCTTCGCCTAAGTTCCTTATAAATATGAAAGTCCAGCTCACGCACGAATACGAGCAGGGCGGGAGTTTCGACAACAGGAACAGGGGACCTGATTCCACGCCTGATAATGGAATTCAGCGAATGGATTGGCGGGACGCCACATTGCAACGAGGTCGATTCGAGCCTCTCCCGGGAAACGAAGTTTGGTTCGACAATAGGTGCACATTTTTCAGTGACAAACAGCGTTGACTGTTCGGCTGACGTGGCTCTTTAATGGAAACGTGATGTTTGGAGAGGTGAGCTTCTGCACCAGAAGAACTTCTGAGGCAGATATCGACCCGTTTTCCTTCCTCGCTGATTGGGATTGCCAAACCAGTAATCGTTGGCGAAGAGAAAAGAAACTTTCTTGTGCCGTCGCCGGATATTGTGACTTTCTGAGCCATTTCGACGAAAATGCTCTTCGCCTACATAGCCTCGCAGCTGCATCTTCTCGCAGCTGGGTCTAAGACGCCTCGCTCTCCCGTATGCCGTTTCTCCCAAGTGCCGGGGGAGCTTCTCCACTGAATTTCGCTCATTTCATACCAGAAATTCGTGTAATTCAAGTGAAATTCAAATTCCAGACGAAGTGGGAGTTTCAATGCATCTCTCAGATCTGGCACCTCCTCGACAACCCGAAATTCGGACACTTATCCTGACGTTATCAGGGCACGAAATATCAATCGCGCGACTTTCGCCGTGATCTGCGCGGGTGTGTAGTTCTGCGCGGGAACGAATCGCGTGGAGTTGTCGGATCACAGCGAAAACCACGGGGCTGACCATTGCACCAGTTACTGGCCCCGGATTGAGAACCGGGTACAGCTCCTCGATGGATTTCCAACCATTCAAAATCTGTTACCAGAATATGAACTGGTAGACATTTATCTCAAGTTATCTTGGCGCTTTTTTTCTCTCGTGTACAATTGGCCCCCGTTTCAACCAAGGTCGAAGGGGGGCCGGACCGAACCAGAAACGGAAGAAAGCGTTAACTCGACTATACCCTTTCCGGTTCAACGAAGTACATATAAAGAGTTGTGCAAATTTTCAACCATCAATCACGATCCAAGCTCAAACATGAACTCTGTGAGTCTCTCAATGGTCTCAATTGAGGAGTGACAGGCCATCTGCTCGGAACTGTTATTGGCTCATCTGATCTCATTGATATCCCACTCTAGTAATCATCCCCGTTTTTTAGTTCGCCGTCTTCGCTCTCGTCGCTGCCGCCATCGCCTCGGCTTCTGCCGGAGGTCTCCACGGAGGATACGGACTCGGTCACGGAGCCGTCCTCGGTGGCTACGGACTCGGTCACGGAGCCGCTCTCGGAGGTTACGGACTCGGTCACGGAGCCGCTCTCGGAGGTTACGGACTCGGTCACGGAGCCGCTCTCGGAGGTTACGGACTCGGTCACGGTTACGGTCACGGCCTCGGCTACGGAAAAGGCCTTGTTGCTGCTCCCGCTCTCTCTATCGGAAAAAGCTCATCCTACGTCAGCGTTCAACACTCTGCCCCTGTGATCGCCAAGACTGCCGTCCACGCCCCTCTTGCGATCGGTCACGCTTCTTACGGCCACGGTCTGGGTCTTGGATACGGTCACGGGCTCGGTCACTACTAAACGGCGCCTCGGAATGTAAATAAATCCTAGAACTACATTACAGCCGATTTTGGTGCGTTCCATTTGTCTGACTAAAGCGACAGAGTGAAGGAAACGAGCTGATATACAGATACTGTAGCCGTCAATTAAGATATAGAGACCCGATGCGATATTCGCGCTCAAGTGTTCGGAAATGCATAGTAGCGCGTAACCGGAGAGATGTCGGCAAGGAACTGGGCGGAAAAAAAGGCAAATATTTACCAATCTGTACATCGATGAATCGGAGAAAGTGAGCAATACAGGCCTCGGTATCTTGAGGGATGCAGCGAGAACGGAAAAGGGAGTGGATGAGTCATCCCGTGTCATCCGTTGCAGCCCGGGCTGTCATGGACCGGGGGCAGCGAGTAAGACGAGAGCGCCGCCATAGCAGGCCGGGGTGTGGAGAGGGGGCCGGGGACGAACACTCGAACATTGTTATGCCCCGATCCTCCGGAACCATAATACATAGTCGATGCACTGCAACTTTGTCCTCGGGAATCCTTGCCGCGATTATTTCGCGGAAGCATCTCTCGAAGCGTCGACCGCGGCGATCCATTCGAGAAGTAGCGTTGAGGAAAAAGTAGATGGGGAACACACAAAAAATTATTCATACTTCCGAGCATAAAAAATCTACAGTTCTCTTCGAGTACATATGTCTACGGGATTCCTGCGTGGCTCGAAAATTCTACGGACGCGCACAGGAAAGTTTCAATGAAATTATTCCGTTCCCTGAGGCATATATTCAAGATGACTCACGTTGCTATCTCCTCTCCGCGACTCCCCCGCGCTATTCGTATCGCCAATCCTCGCTCTCACTGCTGCTCCTTCCTCAGTCAATGTCGTAAAGTCTTGACGTTCGTATGACAAGGGTTCCACCCTACTTAGTTATAAACAAGGCTGCTCTCTTGTCGACATCCGAGGAAGCGAAATGCTTGCCATCAATGTATCCATCCGTGTCACAATGTTATCTACTGGGTAGTTTTCTCCGGGTCCTTCGAATCCCGAGCGAGCGAGCGATGTCTGAGCGATTCAAATGCAGACCTGTTCCGACCACTGAGCAGCTTCCTAGAAAATTCTCGTGAATCGAATATCCGCTGCTTCCATTCATGAAACAAAGTCCTCTCGAAATTCCGCTTTCATTCCCTCCTGGGCCCGGCCGCTACTCGCGGACACCGCTGTGACGTGATAGCTCTGAAACCGAGTTCCCCCCTCCCGGCTTTGCGTCTCACGGCGCTGTCGGACATTCCATCATTAATTGAACGTACGATCCGATATGCGCATGCATGACATCCCAATCACGCATCGATCCGCTTTGGCAAGGTCCCGGCGAATTGTCTCAAGGGAAGTCGACGTCAATGTGCGTCCCAGCTGCGCGACGCATAATTCAAGCCGGATCGCGGATTCGAGACGGTGCGCATCATCTCGGATCAGTCTCGAGAGTCACAACGTAATCCCCGAGACTCGTGCATTACGGTTTCGCCTACGGCATCGGAGCTTTTCCGGACAACAGTCAGCGAGATTCGCCGCCGCACGAATGATGGGCTGCTTCCTCGAGCCCGGGTCGGTTGCGTTATTCCGGAGAAAAATCGCCATCGTCCGCCGGATGCCGACTGAGCATGAAATCGAAGAGTAATTTGTCACTTTGGAAAATTTGAAATGTTCATCTGTTCATTGAGAGATCAAGACGATCTGACTCGAGCTCCGCTCGATTCACAGCGGTCGACCCGAAAGCCACCGAGCGAGCGAGCCAGGGGAGAAATTCGACAATGGATCGATTGATAGGCCTGATATCGAGCGCTACCTGCTGAAAGAGTGGGTCACCAAGATACAAACAGAATGAGTATCATTTGTATTATGTAGCGACGTACGTTTGTTTATTTTGGACAAAGGACGCGAGCTCGCTCTGCCGTCCGTCGATTCCTCCGTCGAAGATTCATCAAGTACGGACGTTGCTCTCGAGCGACGTCCGTGCGCTCAGTTCCATTCGTCTTGTACTCTTTGGACAATAAAACGACGGGTCGCGGTTCGGATCGGGACGACCATCGGTCCGATGTCCGATAACTCGCTGCCGATTTTCTCCACTCGCGTCGTTCAACGGTCTTTCGAATGCCTCGTTGCACGCTTACGCTCAGTGTTCGAACGCGCCCCGAGTTCCGGCTCCAAAATTTCTGAGCGTATACATAGAGGACACGTCCAGTGCAATAAAACCTCGACGCTGGAAAGTCGGTCGCTTCCGGGAATTGAATTCGGCCCAATGCTCGGGAAAGTGGATTCTTGAAGAAAACGGAACAAAACAGCCTCCGAGAGCCTGGAGTCCGTCTATGAGCAGACGAGTTCGGGAACTCGTGTTGATAAGTCGGTCGTTGGCGATCCGTTCGCATTCAACATCTTCTTTTGATTTTTCGCGAAAATCTGAGAACAATTAGATGTTCCGCAGCACGAGTCGGCACGTGCCGTCCGCGGATCCGGCCGCCCTCGCATCTGGATCGTTCGGCGTGCAAGAGGTCGATCTCGTTCGAACACATGTTCCTTCAACCAACGAAATGAAAACCGGTCTCCGACACATTTCGAACGCGAGTACGCGGCTGCCTTTGACTCAGACGCCGACTCATTCAGCGAGTCGAAACGAACAATGGATCGCTATGGAGACAAAGGAGTCCACGAAGATCGAATCGTGATGATGTGAGGACCATCATTCGCAGCTGAATATCGGGAGCCCCGGTGGCGGAGTGGAAGATTTCGCTCGAGTCATGCATGCGATTTTCTGGTGTCGAAGCTGATTCAAATTAATCGAGAACGGAAGCTCGCACCGTACTGTGCTGTTTCCGATTCTACAAGCCTGGGCACGTGATAGTTCCAATACGCGCTGCGGGACCGTTTGGTAGATGGCGCTCAAATGGGTGGAGAGGGACCGGTTGGGGAAGGAGACAGCCGGCGTTCAGTCCGGGTCCACCGGATCCAGTGATCAGATCTCGCGGTGTCAAACGACCAGATGTACATCCGACGATGACGTGAAGACGATTGTGAGCCTATCGGAGTACCGGGATCCCGTGAATTTGGATAATTTTCATCGACGACATCATCATCGAGGAATTCGTCACTCACAGTGCCTGGGAACTATAGTGTCTCAACGATGAATGTTCAGTTCGTGGAGTAGAAGCTCGAAACACGATGCTCCGGTCGTGGATTTTATTCCTGTGCGCGCTTTCAGTTCTCGCTGAAGTAAAAATTGCAAACAACGTTCCTCCAAAAGGTCAGTCCTAGAGAAGTACGAAATTGCTCAGTGACCACGGTCGCTCATTTGAATCTGCGTCGAATCGTAATTTTTCACCAGTCCGCGCGAGACCATGTCCCCGAAGGAACGGCGTGAAAAACGTGAATTAATCGAATGTCGGGGATAGATTTCCAAAATGAATTCAGTTTAGGCATTAGAGTTTTCTCCGGGATTTTTTCTCATCTACGCGAGACTCTGTGTACGAACACTGGATTATTGGTATTGCTCCACGTTCTCCCGTTTGGCGCACCTAAATCCAAGACCCAGACCGGCCGACCGGTAAGCTACGTGTCAGAGGTGACAATCCTTGAATTTATGCCTCGGACATCACGGATAAGTCGGCTCCTGTTTTTTTCGAAAACTGGTCGAGAGCCTCCCGTTGGCACGTTGTGGGGATCGCGGATGTCGGCGCGCCGGCAACGAGGTCCGGGCGCCAGAGAGCAACGAATTCAGTACATTATTTGTACATAGGTCGGACAGAGATTTCATATTTTATGATCGATCGCGTGAAGGACACCTCGACGATGCTCTGATGAATCGTTCGTACAAGTCTGGATTGTGATTGTGATTGAAAACACTGCACCACCGCTCCGTACGGAGAGTTTTGATTGAAACTCGTCCACTAACCATTGTCGGTGGTTGAATGAACGAGCGCTACGTAACGAATCGGCGTAGTCAGACGGATGAGACCGAGAAGATAGATCAAAGACAGCTGGTGACGTCGTTGTTGCGCGATGTCGCGCATTGTTCGTAGCGCCACCGTGCTGCTAGGATGGGGTGGATACGCGACGTACGCATTCTACGGACGTAATGGGCACATCCTCCTCCTGGCCAGGTGAAAATCCATGAGCTCATTATGGGAGGCGACATCGCGTGAAATGTTTCGTCGCCCCGAATCCTTCCGACTCCAGCGAGCCAGAAATCAGGTTCCATCTACGGAGATCGTATCCGACCGTGGATACATATAATTCGACAATTACGACGTTCGCAGCTGTGTTATGATCATCGATTACAGGCAGAAACGGAGTCGGAACAAGCTCTTGATTCTTTTTTCCTGTTTCTGCTCCGACTGTAGATTCGGCATCCCAAATAATTATCAATCGTATATCCAGAGCGTACTGAAGGGTGTCGGGTCTTCTCAGTCGCCCGAGCCAAGTTCTCTCGGTTTCGTTTCTTTCTCCTGGCGGAGTTTTCATCGAATCGATTCCGAACAACGTGCTCTACGCCGCTTGAGCTCAGGCAGAAAACGACGGAGAAACTCGTTTTTTTTCGCTCTCCTAATTCCGTTCCAGATCGTAATGAATGCAGTCTCGCGCGGAGCTCTGGGAACGAGGTGTCGCGACCTCTGGGTAATAAGAGCTCTCAATTATTTGGGCTTTCCGATGCCGGTCATTTCCGTGGTCTTCTGGCGTTCTCTCGTTGAGGTCGAAACGCCTCCTGATCCCGACCCGGAGTCTTCTCCAAGATACTCGTCGCAGACTTGTCGCTGCCTGTCGGGAGTCTCTCTTCGCGAGAGCACCTTTCGAACTATCTGCTGCTGCTCGTGACAAAACTTTGTGGTCGAGTCGATTCCGATGAAAGGGCCCGGGTGGGGACAAGGCTAAAAATCAACGAATCGTTTTTTCAGCGTCATTGTTCTACGCCGCCGCCCGCTCCGAAGATCGAAGGTGTTTTGACAAAAAGTTTCAAAGGTCTGAGGGAGGCTCTTCTCCGACGCTTTGATGAGAACTCGAGTTTTTGCCCACCGGCCTGATGCTTCCGCATGAAGCGGGCCGACCTTTGGCGGATCTCCTTGCTTCGTCGAGAATACGTCAGAGGGAGAAGCTTCGACGCTGAGGTGATTTTGTTCTCTCACTGACCCATCACTCAATGAAATGAGCTCAGTGAATTATATTCGATGAAGTTCTCGATCGATCTTCATTGAGAAACCTGTCCGGGTGGTCTGATTGGATTTAGACTTCGTCAGTAGACGTGAGACAATGAAGTAAATTCTGTCGGCAGTGTGTGGGCGATATTTTCTTAATCACTGTCGAAAGAGCCCTTCAACGAGGAATCAGAGGTAGATATCTTCGCATCCTTGAGGAATTGCCACGGAGTCCAAAGTTCTGATGGACGCCAGAGAAAAGGATCGTTGCTCGTTCTTCTCGATTCTTCCTCCGACGGGGAGCTCTTCTCGGAGCTCCCCGTCGACTGTAGCCCAGGTCCCTGACATCTCGTGTTGTAACTTATTAATTTAATTAACGCCGAATGCTAGTCGGTCTAACAAACTACAGCTCGACAGACAGCAAACCTAACTGAGTGAGAGACGACGGAGCCCGTGTTTATCTTCCCACGGCTATCTGCGAGTTGTTCTCCGCGGCGCTCTTGGATCGAAATTCGTCGTTCGATCACGCTGTGAATACCTCTCAGCATGCCTCTTTGAGTTGCGCGTGTGTGTAATTGTATTCGCTAATGCGCGAACTTCGAGGGTCATCTTGTGCGTCTATCGGTGCGTACATCCGTCTGCCTGACTCGACACCCGTCCACCATTCCGGCTCTCTTAATTTGCCTTCTATGTTGGAGATCGTCGATCGACTCTCGTGGGGGAAATTTTTCCCCCTGTGCTGCCGCCGAGGTGCTGTAGTCCTCTGGCAGGGGATTGTCTTTATCGTCTGTCTTCGGATGACTCGACGAGGCTTTGTGTTGACGGCGGATGTCGTGAGTGCGACTGCAGTAATGATTGGAGAACAGCGACAAGCTCACACTGCCCTTCCCGTATGAAGTATTTAATGGCCGGGCTCATTTCACGCAGTGTTGCTCTGGACTTTTACACCTGCGCGACCAGAAACAAAATGCGTTCGGGGTTCAAGTTCTTCTGGCGCATTAGACTTCCCGCTCCGTTTCCTTCTCACTCTCTATCCCTCTCATCTTCTATCTGTTTTTCCCTTGGAGCCGAGTGCATTAGAACGTCGACGACATGCTCATTTCATTACTCCGGAGGTCTTGATTGTTCGATGATACGAATGACGCCGACGATCCGAGCCCCGAAGGCTGTAGAAGCTCCTAATCATCTCACGGCTCATCAATTTTCCTCTATTTGGTCACGGGGGTTTTTGTCTCTCTCACCACCAAAATTGAGTCGAAAAAGGAGTCCTCAATGATAAAAGGAATCGCTGGAGTTGGAGCGGCCCTCCGGTGGCGTTTTCTCCGTGTGGAGGCGGGATTGATAGAAACTGTGAGCAGCTCTGCAGTCCGGAGGCTAAAGATCGTGGCAATAAGAGTTTTTTGAACCTCGATGGCTGTGGATGTCGTTAATGCGGACGCTAATGCCGTTGAGCAGAAGACGAGCGGATGAGAGAGGCAGAGAGAGCCTTTCTTTCTCCCGAGCTCCCCGCCGAAGAAGCTCCTGCATCCAATCAAGGAGTCCGCTTCCCAAGAAGTCTTTGTGGCTTTTAATCAGATTCACCGTTATCGAGGTAGCTTGAGTTCCCTGAGCGGTATCGTCCGGTGATTAATGACGACTCGCTGCTGGTGACAATACATTTTCTCAGAGTACTCCAAAAAGCGATCTTTTTTTGAGCTCCTTGTGGTTTATCTCCTCCCTCTCTTTTTAGGCCGTGCATTGTGGAGTGGTTAGGGGAGATAGGTACATTTCCTGGAGACTCCCACCTCCCATCCCGTCGGAAAGTAAATCTCCTCATAAATGTGAATCTGAGACAGTCCTGATATATGCACGTAATCGTCCGCCCGAGATTCCGCGCCGCCGCGGCTTCGTCCCCCATTCTTTTGCCCAGGGGACGTTCCGTCTGATCCAAACGGCATTTGACCGTAGACAGCTTTGATGAGGGTCCTGGGGCTGTTACGAGCGGGAGCACAGCTACATCTGACTGAAAATTATTTTTGGGCTACGTTTCCCCGGCCCGTTCCGATAAGCACGGGGCATATGATCGATAGACGAATTCTGTTTTGAGTGCTTCGAGAATTCGCTCCAATGTCGCTGACGGCTCGACGTTCATACGCACATGTGGTCTCTTCGAACGACGGTGGTGTCCGGCGGCGAGCGCTGAGTTGTTCGTCGATCGGTCGGTCGGACATCTTCAATCTGCACCAAAGAGTTCTGCTAAATAGATCGTGGGGTCAAATCCACCCACCTTGATGATCGGACGCATGTATCCTTTCGTGAGCATCGGAATGCGGCTTGAGAGAAAGAGCGGAGCAAAGAGCAACAAAGATCTGACGGAAGAGAACGAAATAGATGCAGACAGAGCGAAGGGGAGCAGAGCGCGTGAACTTCCCCGTCTAAGATTCAGAATCCATCCCCCGACGAGTGGCGTCGACCAAGACTCCATAGGGCATGAGACGAGCTTATCGATGATGAGTTTGTTCAGGTTTAGGTTTGCCTGCGGGAGCGGTCGAAGCTACGACTTATCTTCGCTCCTTCCAGGGCCTCGCCGAAACTCGGCCTGATAACTTCTAGAAAGGCCGTCTCGTCGGAACTCCATGTACATTTCCCGAACTCAGGGAATTTGTTGAAAAAATAATAATAATAAATGATGGACAACCATACGACCCCGTGAACACCCGTCCCGTGAGCGACAACAGCTAAAGCTACAGCGGTAACAGAAGCAGAAACTCCATCGAGCGTGAAATATGGAGGATAAGGAAGTCGTTGACAGAAACACACACGGATTCCTTATCAGCTCCGTTCTCTGGACTGACAGATCGGTGACTGACTGACTGTCACTGATACCGTCGTCGTCGCCACCGCCGGGCCGTCGCTCGGACGCTTTATGGAGTTACGCGCGTCGTCGCGGAACACCTGGACACCAGACGTGGTGCAATGTTCCGCCGATTGTCCCGGGATCCTTCTCATTTCTACGGCGACGGGAAGATACGAGTCTCGTGCCAGTGCGATGTCGCTTCCTCCTCGAGTCTGAGCAGCAGGGAGGGGGAAGGAAATTCTCGCATTCAATCAGCGGATTCTCGTCTCTCACATGGTCGTCTACGAGTTCTTCCGTTCGAGCGGCGGAGGAAGTCTCGACGTGTCTTCGTGGAGTAGAAGGGAAGCCACGCAACGATGGAGAAGGATGCGTTCGAGGCATCGCGAGTTGGAGGCAACCGACCGAAACCCGGGGATCCGCAGTCTGTCCGTCTATAAGGACTTGATGGAGGGAGAATTCTCTTGGAAACAAGTGGTGAGATCGAAAGGAAAAACTCACGCATCGATCTCCCAATCACTCGACGCTCGAAGTGAGTGAGCGGAATGAGAATCGAGGCGAGAAACTGTTCCCAGAATCCAATCGAAAATTGACAAAACCAGCTGTATCCTTCTTTCAAATACGTTCGCTTCGATGACGATCGGTGGTTTATTTTTCGGAGTTCGTTGAGGATACTGAGTTCGGCACCGAAACAGATGATCCAATTTAGGGAGTCCATCAGGATGAAAGAGAACTCCGTTAAGTGGGATCTCGAAGACTCTTCTTCCTTAATGCTTAGCGAGAGCGGGGCGAAGGCGCGACGTCAAGTAGGGATCTCTCTCGTCTGTGATGACACGGCAGTGCTTGACGAGCTCGACAGACATCCAACGACTTCTTTTCGCTCTCCTTCCCATGCTCTTCTCTGCTCCCTCACCGCTTGCGCGAACAGTGCACCCGCGATTAACAGTTTCGATCGGGGACGTGGGTCGTCGCGGCTCTGGGTGGGTCTGACGCGGCTGATTGACATCATGGATTGACGGCGACTCGAATTGACGCCGCCGGCCGCAGATTGATTTGTCGTCAGAATTTCGACGGGATCGCTCCGAAAACGCTCCCGCCGGAGCGTAAAGAGACCAGAGCTCATCGTCGGCTTTTATTGGGCTCTTCGCGCTATGCGGAAAAGTTGTTCCACGAACTCTAGGGACTTGACCCCGGACTGGGAGTCGGAGATGATTATCACAATTATTCGATCGATCGATCAATCAATCCACAGTTTTCCGGCGAGACTCCATTCCCTGAATATTGTAGTGTGCACATACTATACGCTTCACGGTTAGGATTGAGCCGATCGATTGAGGAGAGCGAAAGCGGAGCTGTACAATTATTCTGTCTCCCTGTCGATCATGGCTGAGACTCATCGAGGAAACCTTGAGAAGAACCGTTGCTTCTCGGTTCGGCGCAGTACGGTGACGGAGCTAGTTGTGGGAGAAAAAAGACGACGACGACATCAACAACACCGACGACCAGCAGTTACAGTGAATAGACAAACGGACTGAGGGCCGGGTGGATGGATGGATGAATGGATGTGTTGCGTGGTATGGGAGCCATTCGCCCGCTGTCAATTACTGCAGCCTGTGCTGGCTTAGTCGCTTCTGACGACTGACTGGCTGAGTGAGTGAGCCATGTGCTTGGTCGGGATTCCACGAAGGCATTCAGAATGGCCCCAGAACAACGAGCTTCGCTTTACTATTTCTCTGCTCCTAAGTTTCTCCACGGCTCCTGCCGACTATGAATGGCTCTGACAACTAACTCTGACTACCGACAGCAAGCAAGCCAGCCAGCCAGCCGGCCGGCCGGCCGGACGGACGAACAGGCTGGTGATGACGATCCGCATGACGAACTCTTAGACTGACGATGGTCAATTGGCTCTCGGTCAGTGATGACTTCTGGTAGGGAGGAAAAAATTGACGACGCCGACTCTTCGTCACGAGAGCTTCAACTCACCGCGTATCGGGGCGCAACATCTGCTCGAGGAAGATCCGTCTGAGCCTATCAGGAAGTCGGGGGCTGAACGATTTGGACTCCGATCGTAGCCGACACCGAATGAGTTCCCAGTGTGCACAGGAGCTTCTTGTTCCAGCGACGAAAAGAGGAAATCGAATAATTTCCTTTCCTCTAGCCCGACGGAAGCGGGGACGGCACCCTCGATCTTCGCCGGAAGAGTCGGCTCCGAGGTGGACCACTCTGATGACGAAATCTTCCTATTGCTCTCGGAGCTCGAGCGCTAGAGGAGACGGCCCTTGTCTCGAATCTAATGCACATGTTTTGTGAAATTTTGAAAATTGGCTCGATGTCGTCGCAATATCACTTGAACGGAGCAGCGGAGTCCTGTGGAACGAATTATCGGAGTCGCGAGCATCCGATTGAACGCCATCGCGAGAGACACGGGGCGCGGACTCGGCAAGAGATACAGAGAGGATCCACATATTTTTCACTTTTCATTTCTCTCGTCTCGTCTTGATTCGACTGTTGATGGCGGCCGGATGCAGCTGTGTTCAGCAGTCGGCGAGTTCAACAATGACTCTGCTCTGTGAACGTTTCCAATTAACAACGGAACGAGGCTAATCTGACATTCCTTAAAACTGTCTCCCCATGTTGTATTCAAAGCGGGCTGGCAAGCAAGCGAGCAAACAAACAATCGACACGAGTCTGGGGCTCCTTAGTATCGTTAGAGCATCGAGTTCGGCTTGAGCGCACAATTGTTTCCGATGAATGCGGCTTTGCGGAGACAGTTCCACGGAAAGAGAAACCAAGACAGAGCGTTCAACCCAGGTCATGGGGAGGTAGAGCTCCTCTTGCATCAGGGAAAAAAAATCGTACCGATTCGTATCCCAAATCACAATAGGAAATGAGGAGCATTCGATCAACGCTCCATGTCTCATGACTGAAATTTAAAATTTCCTCTCGGGTCGCTTCGCGACACACATACACTATCTGGGTACGATGTGTATCGCATGACTTGACACGGACGGCTGTTCCCGAACAGTCTTTCCCTCACAAATCTCCGTTTCCACGGTCTCAAGCTCAGCACCTGCTAGATCGAGTCGAGAAAATCATCTCGCTCCTCAATACCTCGGACCATTCCAGGATTTTCCGCCTTGGGGGAGGACCCGAATTTTCTCAGCCTAATGATGTCCGTTATTTCAGACGACTTCGACGCGGATGAAGATGAAGGCGCTCTCCTTCACGAGATCACGAACAAAGGACCTGTCATCGATTCACATCCCCAGGATATGGACGTGGTCTTCGGGGGTGCGAATTCTTCCACCTTGAAATGCTCCGCGAACCACGCGCTCTCAGTGCAGTTGATCTGCTCTCCAGCCGATCCGAACTCAACGGTCTCGGAGTATGTGAGAGACCACGCGAAACTCGTTCCGTCTACGCTAACGGATTTGGTTGATCCGATGACCGGCATAAGACACATCGACCTAGAAGTCAACATGGATCGAGCGGTTTTCGGCGGGTTCGCGCCTGAGAACGGTACCATTCCACGGTCGCTGTACTGCGTGTGTCATGCGTGGAGCTCGCAGGGCAACTCCACCTCGAAAATTGCAACGATCCGGTCGATACCAGGTGCGTGGCATCGAGTTCGTTTGAAAAAAATTCGGATGGGCTCTAAATATCCCATGCAATGAGGAGGACCTCCAGAATCTTGAGTCCAGATGAACCGTGTACAGTAGAACCTCGATTATTTCGACCAGTGACCACCGAAAACGGTTCATATGAGCAGGGTTCCGTAGGAATACATGGGGAACTTGATTGAATCAATCATCTATTTCCACAAACTTTGACGAGAAGCGAGGTGAGTCCTCGGAAAGCTAAAAAAATCGAGGCGAACTTTCTAATAGTTGAAATACTCGAGGTGGCTTTTCGGGAAGTGTCTACGATCGGGGCTCTACCCTTTCGCTATGACACCTCGGTTATACCAAGCGTTTTTGGCAAAGATTACCCACTTAATATACTCGAGGTTCTACTGGTGATATTTCGGAGAGTCAGAATTCAATTTTCTCAAGAAATATCGAGTGTAGGAATAGATGGACCAGATGCCTTCACGTCGATATCTCGAGATGTGGGCGACAGCGGGCCACGAGAACAGCTTTGTTTTAGAAATTCGGGATCGATGATGGAAGTTTCGAGTCGAAGATTCAAACGTGTGCCTCGAGTCATGACTTCTGTAGCTCACAGATGGTGCGATCGGTTAGATCGAGTTCTCTCCGATTGTAGCGTTCCCTGCAGACACATCTCTCGTTCTCTTGCCTATATATAGAGCCAGGGAATCGATCGGAACTTATCTTTCAACAGCATCGTCACAGCGTTGTCGCTGCCGGCGGCGTCGTGGGTAGTTGTTGCTGTTGTCGTCAGGTGGAAGGGTTCCATCAACTCTTTTCAAAACGCGGGACAGCAATCTGAATGGAAAAGAGCTTCCCTCCTCGACAGCGGAGCCCGCTCAGCGCCAGCCTCGGAGACGCTTCCACGGGCTCAAAACTTCCGGCCGTTTGTCATCACATCATTGGAATCATCTCTGTTTATTTGATACAAAACCCGATGGGTCGCGGAAAGACAAACCCGCTGGAGAAACTTCCTGGAGAAATGTGCGGGACCGATAGGTTGAGATCTGTCATATTTTTTTCGTCACGGCTCTCCGTGGCCAGAGTTTTGAACTGTCTCGGCGAGAGAGCGTCGACTGGCTGGCAGGCTGGCTGGCTGGTTGCTTGCCTGCCAGGCGTTGGCTCACGCATTCGATTTCATGATCTACGGCGCCTTTCGGCGGCTACGGTAGCAGCTCTGGGGAGTTTCAATGCTTCCGAAAACACAGAGGTCGCCGGCCGGCCCGCCCGCCGCTTCAATCAATCTCTTAGGAAAACGTTGTTGATAGCTCCTGTTTACGGAAGTCCGTGGAGAGGAGCTCCGACTGCTCACAGACCTCGAAATTTCAGGCCCACCGATCGATCACAAGAAAACCGTCAAAGAAGTCCCGAAGTACCGATTAGCTAATCTCGGCGAGAAAGTTGAGCTCGAATGTTCACTCACAACGACGCGAGCGACCCGCACCAAAGCCGATGACGACGATGAAGGCGAGGTGTCTTGGTTGCTCGACGGGAAGCACTTCATGCTCGATGACAACCTGGAAGAGGAAGGGAACAAATTGCTCATTCTCCGAGTGAAAGTTAAAAACGAAGGAACCTATTCCTGCAAGATCGGGGATAAAATCGGCGACCCAATCACAATCGAGGTCAAAGGTAAATAAATGCTTCCATATCTGAAGCTTTCGTGGATTTTCAGGCTTTCCCTAATCGCGATCGATCCATTCCAGCTAACGGAAACTGGTCGCCATGGGGCGCGTGGAGCGATTGTCTCGCGCGTTGCGCTAAAGGCAGCCGGAGCCGGACGCGGTCGTGTACGAATCCGGCACCGAGGAACGGCGGAAAAGAATGCCAGGGCGATTACATTGAGAAGGAAGAGTGCACGTCATGGAAGGATTGTACGTCGAAAGAAAAAGACGGTGAAGAATCGGGCATCTGGACCAGCTGGTCATCGTGGTCTGAATGCGGTGCGAACTGCAAACAACATCGGCAGCGTCGATGCATCTCGAGCAAGAAAGGCTCGCGTTTATCGACCCCAGTCTGCAGTGGGAGGAACTACATCCAAAGGAACTGCACTGGCGGCGAATGCTTGCCCGAGTCTCCAGAAGTCCTTGCCGGAATGAAGACCGTGCAAGATACTTCGGGAAGCGCACTCTCGAACAATTTCCTCCAGGACCAAGGGAACACGGGACAGCACGAGCAAGGTAAGCGATTTTCCCCCGGGATCCCTATCCATTTCGAAAATTCCCTCCGCGGGTCCTCAACCTCGAATTTCGCCGGCGACGCCGGTACGCTTCGACAAAGTTTCGAGCCGTGCTCCTATCCGAGGCTCAGAAGGCGGGGAGATCCGACAGAAAAAACATAGGCTTCCAGCCTTTCCGCCTCTTCTCTCGTAGATCGGCGAGAAGTGACGTAGACAGCAAGCCTTCCAGCCAGTCACTCAAGCGAGCAGGCGGGCAGGCAATGATCATATTTCAAGTGAACTCAAGTGAATCCATAACTCTTAGGTTTCTTCATGTCGCACATAGGCGGTCTGGAGGCGATCGCCATGGTGATCGGAATGGCCCTGGCGGCAATCATTCTTGCATTCACCTTCCTGATAGCCCTCCGCTTCCGTCCGAGAGACACTTCGTGTCACGGAGACAAACCGCATCACGTCTATCCAGCCGTGCCTATAAATGCCGGTGAGTTTTTTTTGTCTTCGTCTTCTTTTCTTTTTTCTCCATTTTTTTTTGTTCCGTCACCGCTCTTGTGGGGACTGAGAGAATGCCCTCGGAGAATGTGGGAAAAACATCTCGCCTCTTCTCCCGCAGGTCTTTCGACGTTGCCTCCCGACGTGACGCCGAACTACAACGATCCACGACTGCACGAGTATCTTAGCGAGCGTAAGCTGGATACTGCGGTTACGATCCCTCTTCTCCAGCAGCTGTACACCGCGAACGTCTGCCCACTGCCCATGACCCCGTCTCAAAGCAGGTCAAACTATAACTCTCACCGCTCTAGAACTCCGAGCTCTACGGAGAAAACTCGCACCGACTCCGAGTCACAACACTATTCAGACTATGGGGCGCCCACTTCGGAATACGACGATATGATCTACGACACAATCCCCGACGAACTCAAGGACCCGTCGGATCGATCGTCGTCGTCGTCGGATCAGATATCGTGGGGAACCATAGGGTCTGAGGGAGGGAGAATTAGCTTACATCATCTAGGAGTTTCATTAATGGTGCCTCCGGGAGCGATACGCCACGGCAAGCGAGAGTTGTATGTCGCTGTTCTCAGAGAGGATAAAGATCGGCCCAGCTGGCTAAAGGAAGATCAGTGCGTGCTCAGTGCTGTGCTCCAATGTGGTCCGAGTGATGTGCCTCTTGCGCGACCTGTGACCCTTTCTTTCGATCACTGCGCAAGTCCTCCTCCGGATAAATGGAATATTCATGTTTTGAGCGCGGACGGTGACTGCGACGGGGCTCACTCGCGATGGAAGCCCGAAGTGTCACTCAACTCGAGTCAGGAGTCGACGCTCGACGGCTCAAAGAGCGTCTTCTGTCAACTGGACAACGGCCTGTGTCATTTGCAAACGACGAAAATGGCTCGTTTCGTTCTCGTCGGCGAATCGCATGCCAAATCGTACGCCGCTAAATCTGTTGCGTTGATCGCTTTCCTATCAAAGATCTCAAGTCTTTCTCAGAACGAACATTCTGTTCGGGTGTACTGCGTCGAAGAGACGAAAGCCGCCGTGCGGAGCGTCTTCAACGGCGAGGACGGAAAGAGCGTCCTCCTCGACGAGCCCAAGAGCATATTGCTGCACGATGGGGGCGCGAATCTCTGTCTCACGTTGGAGAGTAATTCGCTTTCCCCCAACTGGAAATTCAAACCGGGCGCGAATCAGCAAGAAATCCCCTTCAAGCATGTTTGGTCGTCCCGACTATCGTTGCTGCACTGTTCGTTCGGATTGACCGCGACCACGGCCACGACAATGGATCTCCAGTGCCGGATCGTTGTCTATCAGCGCGGCAACCAGTCCCATAGACAGATCCTGCACCTGAACTCGGCAGCTATTCACCGGCAGCAGCTCACCAACTCAACACACAGCCTCATGGTCACTCGAGGAGGTTCGTCCGTCGTTCCGTCCGATGGTTTCCGAATGAGTCCTGAAGCACGCAGTAGGATATGTGCCTTACTGGATCCCCCTGACGACGAGGGCAACGACTGGAGACGACTAGCACAACATCTAGGCATCGACAGGTGATTATGACTTATTTGATTCAATTATTATCCACCCTAGTTTTCATGATCACCCTCTTTATATACATATACAAATCCACCGTGGTGTTCGGTGGAGGTTTAGGGAAAAATGATCGAGCTCCGCTCTGAAACCTCGCATGGGAAATATGTACATACACGTCTCATTGAAGTAGCTTTCGGAGAATCGAGTCGTAGTTCTCGTCGTACGGTCCCTGCCGTCCACACCGCACTTCAGAGGAGCATGCTTCATCCCAGAAAAAAAAACACCCAGAATAGCTTTCAAGCGCTATTTCACTGCTTACGGAGCAGGTTCGGAAAGCCTCCGAGCTTTCACCGAAACAAAAACCACCATTCAACGGGATCGATGCATTCATCCAAGAATTCAGGAATGCATTCAAAAATCTTCTTTAACGTCTTCCAGGAACCACGGATACTTCGCTTCGAAGAGCAGTCCGACGAGTTGTCTGCTAGATTTGTGGGAAGCTCGGAATCGTGAGGCAGGCGCAGCTTCGAATCTTTTAAGTCTACTCCGTCACATAGGAAGACCGGACGTTACGTCAACCATTGAGAAACTCGTCGGGGCTTGGGTATGAGTTCCCGGAACACCCAGATCTCTCGTTTCAGCCACAGCTGTACTCGTTGCCGCAGTTGTTGACGGAGGGTAAATATCCGCGGAAATTCGCGCGCGTACACACGCAAATCTAGACACGTATGGTCGACTAGAGCTTTCAGTTTTTGGAACTGTGCCGCTGAGGCGAGCTGCAATATTATAGGATGACAATGTACAATCTTCGCCACGTACACACGAACAAGTGATCTTTGCGTACGCGATATTCACCGCGAACTGTAATATACGGGAAAGATGGAAATCTTGGAATGACATAGCCGATGTAAAAACGCCGATGTATAAATCTATTTGTAAATAAACTTTGCAGTTTAAACGGTTGGACAAATGAAAGCTCATTGGTATCTATGTATCGATCTATTATTATTATGTATTTCCTTCTCTGCTCTTTCCGACCCAGCTCTGGGTGTTTTTTTATATCGGGACTCGCAGGACTGATTGTGGCTCGGCTCGATCCTTGGATTTCTCAGAAATTCCCCCGCGGAAACTCCGTCCATCCCCCGTTAGTCGCGGCAGTGTTCCCGCGTGAGGCGGTGTACCTGTGTACTGGTAAATTTACTTTTTTTCGGAGACTTTCTCACGCACAATGGGAGCTCCGCTTCAGAAACTTTGTATTACATCTCCCCTCTCCCGACTCGCAGCCTCCCGTTCCGTGTTTCTGGCTCTCGGTGTATCTTCTTCGTCTTCTTCTCGCGGCTTTTCTCTGCCGCCCTTAATGACTGGTATTTCGCAGCAGCAGACAACTATTGGACAGCACCGAATAAAAAAGGACGCGCTCGTGTGGACGGCAGTGAACGATCGCTCCGTGACTCGTATCCAGATCCCTGCGTCCGGATTTCAGGATCGATCCGAAGCACACACGGAAATTCTCATCGATGTTCCTTCAGTTTCAAGCCGTGACAAAATACTCGCGGTGACTAAAAACGTGTGCGACGTTTTTCGGCGAACTTTTTCATGGTCTCGATCCTCACTTACTAACATTCGTCGACCGTACGAGCATGTTCTCTATGCAGCCGTCACGCCTCTCCCCGACGTATGAGAACACCGGTTCCCTTATCAACTGAAACCATCACATTCGGTCTCGGACAGTAATTTCCAATGAATTCCTAGAATTTACAGGGAGACCTAACGGATTGGAATTCCATTGACATAGCGATGTCCGGGGCGAGGTACGAGTTATACCGGCGCTGCGCTCAGAATCCCACCATGTCGAAGCGGTAACGTATCCGTGTCGGCACCGGGTGGTCTTTCTCTTCTGATACTTCCCGCGATTCTTTTTTGACACTTCGCTTCTCCGACTCGGACCGGTGATAACGCACCGTGAAGACTCGACGCCCGACCGGTGTTGGCATGCTTAATCGATGACACCGCGTTCTCCGTCGATGTTCCTGACACCGAGCACTCAGATCTCTCGATGTGAATTTAATCGAATTCAAGAATCGGATCGCGTTTTCCCGTGAGCGAGGGGCAACGATCCGCCAGAGAAGGCTTCTTCCATTTGAGGTAGCGCGGACAGGTTCCTCGGTCCCGTTCATTGCATTGTTGCAAGATGGAGCTCAGACGAGCCGGAGAGCGGGAAAAACTCTCCCGAGCGCGGGAAAACGCGGAAAAAAAAAGAGAACGTCAGTCCGCGTTGATCCGAGCTGTTGCGACACCCTACCTATGAGCTCGCGCCGCATGCTGCACAGGAAAAAGGGACAGTACACCTAACGAGGTATTCGAGCGAGAGCACAAGATAGAGAGAACCTCGGGAGGGGGGATTTCCTTAATCCTACAAGTGCGTCGATTCTCACGGCCAACTCTCCCGTCTCGCATGATAAATCCTTTGAGTTGAGATCTTTTCGCTATGGGAAAAAAAATGAGAACGGTTCGGTTTCAGTCCAACAGAACTGAATATGTGCTCGGAGCTCCACGAAAGCAAGGTGTGCTCATGGAGTGGAACCGTCAGCGGAAAAACTCGATCAGGGCTCAAACGCCACAAAAACTAATTTTCGACGCCGGAGCAGCCCTGATCCGCTTACGTCGGGAAGGTAGCTCCGATTGTTCATTACAGAAATATTTCGAAATCATGATACTCCCAGACTGTTCCAATCTCGCAAACCTCTCGCCGGAAACAAAATGAGATTAGAAGTAGTTTCCCCGAGCAGATCTGCCGGTAAGCCAAGACTCAATGGCATTCCGCCGAGAGGTCGATGGTGTTTTCCTCCTGACATCCTATTCTCAGTTCCTCTGCGCGAATGACATAGCCAACGATGAGCCAACAAAATATCACTCCCGGACGTTAAACGACTGTTTGCGAATGGTGCGTTCCAAACGACAGCGAATGGTGCTGCGTAAAGTGACGCACACCCACCACCACCATCGAATCATCAGCGTGGCATCCAGACAGTCAGTCATTGAGTCTACGAGCGAACGATCGAGAGAAATTCATGGAGACAAACATCAAAGAGCTCTATCGAACAGAAAGGCTTGTTCTATTGGATCAGTTCACGGAACAGCAACAACGACGGCGAGCAACGTCCCGATAGATCCGTGGGAGCTTGTTTACCCTTATGCACATGACAGGAGTACGATCAATATGAAATGTGTTCGTTTCTGAATAAGAGTGCTTTATTAGCGCTCTAATAGGAACGACGAGAAAAAATAGATGGACCACAGGAGCGTCGGGAAGAGCGGCTGCTCCTTCCGGATGAACGTCCGAGCGAACAAGCGCGAGTCAGATTCGGGCGACCCGTCGACCGTTCGCTTCGTATCGATGACGCTGTGGACCATATACGGCCGGCGGAGTCGTCACGTGGCTCTTCGGGCGTGACCCGAGCGTCAGATTTCTTATTGGGTCGCAGACGATTTTATCTCAAAGATCCAGAGTAGCCTATTGTTGTATCGATTGCCGTGAATACATATACCGTTCTCTCCATCAGGTACTGCCCCTCCGGCTAGACCCGTTTGGAAAGGCCGATCGGGAGTACTTCACTGCTCATTTTTCTCGAGAAAGTCCCAAATCGAATCATCGGCGTCAAGCTTCATTCGGTCAAAGCTCAGGTCGGAACCTCCAGCTCGAAGACTTACAACTCAATGACCGACTGATCGCGATTTCGCGAACCAGATTCGCTAAGCGAAAAAAAAGTCGCTAGTTTCCAACCGAGTTGACGAGGGGACGTAGAAACATCGTTAAAGGAGGAGCACTGACGATGACGATTCAAAACATGAAGAGTCGCGCTCCATTCAATGTAGCATCCTCGAATTCTCGAGGCACTGTTTTTTTAATCTAATTACTCACCATTTATCCTTGAAGAACGTTAACGAATGGATCAGATTCTTATCAGGAGTGCTGATAAATAACAACGAGCAGTATCTCTAGATCTATTTAATTTTTTTCCGTTCCAACGCGGGGAGATGTGCGTGGTAGACACGCGCTGAACACGCCTGCGGAGAGAGAAGCTCGAGAGCCCAATGTTTGTGTGTAGTTGACCGTGTAAGTCTATGTATGTATAAATAAGAGAGGATATATAGATTTTTTTTGCGGTCTCCCGAGTTTTTACGCTCGTAGAGAGTTGGCGGTGATTTGTGAGGAAACACGGGCGACGCCTTATTTCGTCTGTTTCGTGCCTTCCACCGCCTTTCGTTGCTATTCGGGTCCGTCTGACCTCTAGCCGCGCTCGTGGCGGCAGCTACAATTCATTGATACCGAAACGTTACACTCAATGACAGCGGCGTTGATCCCATATCCTCTCTCGCTTGACCCAGCTTCAGACTGTCATCGAGTCAGAATCTCAGACTCTTGATCACAGCCATGACTGAACTGATCCCGGGGCGGATGCACAGATTCGAACATGAATCGTTCCTCCTAAGAAGCCTTGATAATCTTAGAGATAGAGGACGAAGATCCTAGGCATAGCCCGTCGGCAGAGACGAACTCTCGGGCCTTCTTGACAGCATTTGGGAATCTGGGGGACAGCTCCAGATTCTGATCTACAGACAATCCAGGGGAGGAATTGCGGCAACACTCGTCGAAGTCTAGCTATCGTATTTTTCTACGAAGTTATTCGTATCATGCGTGCGCTTTAAGTGGAAGCTGCTTTAAAAACTATTTACGATCGTACCCGAGGCGACCGATCAGTCGACGTTGGCAGCGACGGCGGCTGAGAATGTGTTAGATTTACACCGAATCGTTTTGACATAGGGTCAGACGGCTCGGGCGGTGGCGGCGGTGGAATCCAAGAACGAAAACACTACCCACTTGCGGTGACTACTTGATGGCTTCGTTATGACGGTTCCAGCGATCTTGTCGTCTGATATGGTTCGTTTTCTGCCTCGGACATCGGGTTTGAAGTGTATGATGGGCGGCTGTTTGTCTCGTATTACTTCAAAGTATCCGTAAGCAAGGTCCAGCGCAGCGGTGGGGAAAACGTCACTCATGCCGACATGGGAGGGGACCACGGAAATTTCCAAACAACTTACGGCCTAAAGTTCTTTGATGTTTCGTATGCCGACATACCGCCGGACGTCCAGACCGCATAGCTCTATCGAATGACCGATTCGCAATCGACTCCTTGGTGATACTCTGATTGACAAACGGAACGCTCGATCGTTCAAGGGAGACCTCCGGATTCCATTGTAGCATGCCCGGAGCAGAGCTGTCCGGACCGGAAGAGAGGGGAGTCAGATTCACGTCGTGAATCCCGAAAAGGTTCTAATTCCATTCTACCGGTTCCTATTCATTCAATTTCCCCTTAAGGATGCAAAGTGAAAGAAGTCGCGACCTTGGCCTCCCTCCGAAGTTCCTTTTTTTTCTTTTCTGTCTTTTACCGTCTCGGACGAAATTACCTGGTGGCATTATGTTTTCGCTCAATCGAGGGGGGAAGAGAGTGGGGCACATGGCTCGACTCTCATTGAGCTTGATCTCATGGCTAGGTGAAAAAAATGAGAAGTGTCGGGGATTTCCACTGGCCTTCCGGTAGAGTGTCGAGGAACTCTGAGGGAGATGACGCTCTCAACTATTCTGCACCGCCGATCCTCAATGGGGTGATGGATGGAGTTCCGGAAGAAACTTAATTGCGCGACGAGGTCGCCGTCTGATTAGGCCCCTGCTTCAAGCCACCTAGCCTGGTTTGTAACGACCCATTCGGAAAAAAAAAATCTATTGTTCCTGGGAAGAACTTTCCCGACGAGAGCTGTGGCGGATTTTTCTGAACATCGACTCCAAAGCCCAAAGCCGAGCATGGGCGCGGGATGGCCCAGCGAGGCGAGGGGCGAACAGACCGAGTTGCGGTCGTGCACATA